AAGACAAAAATGGAGGTTTGATAAAGATAACATTTCTTACAAATGTCAGCTAACAGATGGCTAACATGTGATCAGCAGGCAGCTTAAAAGGCTCTAATATAATTGGCTGCTGTGTAGACAGCGGGTGAGTTTATCCAATGAGCTACTTTCAGGTGAATGAAAGGGTGCAATCCTATTGAGTGCAGTCTATTCTGAAAATATTACCTTTCATTTATAATTAACATGTAAATCATCAAACTTTTAACACGCAGTGAAAAAAATATGATAACTGATATTGTGGTTGATTTAAAAAAATATATAGTTTTTATTTGTATTAATGGAGTAGTTATGGACTTATTTGTGGATAAGCACTTATTAAGTCTGGATCTATATCATGCTGCAAATTGGAGAGAAGGAAAGATAAATAAGCCAGTAGTGAGAATTTCAGGTGCAGATCACTTACCTTCACTCAGCTAAAAAGAGGAAGAGGTAGAAGGAGGCCAGAGAGTTTCCTGAAGCGAGGCTTGATCTGCAAAGTGAGTACAGACTGAAGAATGTGAAGAGGATCAGCGACGGATGTAGCTACAGCTCCTGGATTAGCCTCTGCCAGGCCATCAGATGGAAAATCCTCTTTCCTCTGTCACTCATAATGTATGCCTTCTTGCTCAAGTTCTATCTACTCTGAAACATGATAACTTCTGCTGTTTGCATAAACGAACTGAGAAAACATTACCGCACACCAAATACAGACCCACTGATTTATGCGTTTTCATTTATCATTCATTCCATTCATAACAAATCATTTCTGCTTCCAGAGTTGTTTCAGTTTAGCATTAGCAATCAAATATAAGACAATTGTTATAATTAAGAACGTTACCAGGTAATTGTCATAAGGACTTAGAATTAAAAACAAATATTCTTTGGTAAAACTGACATTACCTCTGAGTCTTTATTTTTTCAGATGTTTTGTTGTTTTTTGTTTAATTGTTAAATTATGTCTTAAGTTTTCATTAATTACTGAAGCTGATACATTGGGGTGTTTTCCAATATAGCTTATTCCTTTTTATATATTTATAATTCTCCCTTTGTGTTTTATTTTTTTATTTATTTTATTTTATCTTTTTTTTTTTTTTTTTTTTGCTTAATATGTCTTTTGTTCATCGTTTTCCTTGTTCAGCTCCCACTGGCCTTTTTTTATTTACATAGAGTCCCCCATTTCACTCTCCATCACAGTTAAACCACATTCTCCCCATTACACTCAGGGGGGTTCAATGCTGAGCTCCATGGTGGTGCAAAGAAACACTGTTTCTTTGTAGCATGAAGGTTCTATGTTTTGTAACCCACAAGGTTCTTTCTGCATGGTGTTTGCATGTCCTTCCTGTGTCTGTGTGGGTTCTCACCTGGTACTCTGGCTTTCTCCCACAGTCCAAAAACAGGAAAGTTGGATTCTTTGATAACTCTAAATTTCCCTGTGTGTTCCTTTTTGGCCATCTGAATGAGAACCAATTTTCTAATTTTATCAACAAAATGAGGTCCAATTGTTGTAAGCGAGTCCTTTGTTCTTGTCCTCACAAGCTATTTTGCTAGGTTGTAGGTTTAGGGCTTAAGTTTGAATTCAGTTTAGGCTTAAGAATAAGGGGAATGCAGTGGTAATGGTTAGTTTTAAGGCATTGAAAGATTTGAAAATGACTGTGATCAATTGAGGTCAACAGTAGTCAGTTTACTGGTGACCTGACCAGAGTGTACCTTGCCTTTTGCCCATAGCCTGCTGGACATAGGCATGGCCATGATAGACAATTAGTATAGAATGGCTGCATCATTGCCATTTTCCATTCAACCAATGGTATATCTCACTTCTTTCATTTTGTGAATTAAAATAATATTGAAAAAAGTGTTGCAAAAAACGAGTACAAATTGTGTGTAAGGCATTGATATCTGTGAACCTCAAATAGTCAAAGGATTATCATCTTAAATATTCTCAAATTAGGTAGGTAGGTAGGATTGCCCTGTTGTTGGAATGTAGTAAAGAGTTCAGCATGTTGAAGTAATGGAGCTTCTGCAGTGCCAAACGTAGGAGTCGATAATGCCATTATGGCAATTTTCTGTCTGAAAAGCTTTTTTTTACAAAATTTTACAGCAAGCATAGATTGTTTTCAATTGTTACTGTAGATTCGAAGCACTTCATTTGACCTGTAATTAAGACCCTTTAAGGCAGCCATAATAAAGCCTATATGTTAAATATTAGATGTAGCTACGGACTGTTTAATGAAGGTAAACATCCAAAAATGGTTTAAGTATGCTGTCTGCTGGATTGCAAATGCGAATCCCTTTGCACCTTCTTTGTAAATTTGCTACAAGCATGTCTGCACCCGTTTTCAGACACACAAACCAGTACAGAGACATCTAGGTTTAGTTACACCTAAATATGTGTATTAATTTATTAGTCTGATGTATTAGTCTAACATTCTGAGAAATGAACTGTGTTGTGTTCATCAGCTTGAAACAGAGAATCATAACACGATCGAAGAGTTGTAACAGTCTTGTTTAATTATTTTATATAATGTGTTTATCATAGTGAGAAGCGTAACTGACATTAATTATTTAATTAATTATCTTTTCAAAAACTTTCCAATTTACAGAATATGTTAGTTGGGAAAAATAGGTGTGTTTATAAATACTTTTAGGTGTAAAGAAAAACAGTATTTTAAAGACTTAAGCATAAATTACAATTACTTGAATGTTTATATTTTCTTAGTTTCAACTTTTTAAAATTGCTTACTTGCCAATTAGGTGTATTACAATTAGACTGGGCTTACAAAGTGGATCTTTAACATCACAGGTCTAGGTGCCAGGCTATAAGGTCTCCAGGTTACATCCTCTTGTAACAGTCGTAATTGTGTAGTGTCTCTTTAAGTATTGCTACTACACAGCCTCTCTGTAGAGAGCGTGGGAGAGTTGCAGCCCTGGACAGTAGGGCTGCAAATCTGTCAATTATTTTTTCAATTAATCGATTAATAATTGCATAGCCAAAGGTTGCTTAAAGATTTTTTTTTTTTTAAATTAAACCATGTGAAACTAAAACTTTTCTACTGAAGGAGTTCTTTTTATAGCATACTAAATTATATAAAATTGTTGTTTTGTTTTTATCATAAATGCTAATTGCTAAATGCTGCTCTAAGTGGGTTGCTCTGTCAGCTAAAAGCATGTTTTAGAGTTTCTATACTGTAGTAAATGATTAATCGATTACTAAATTAGTTGAGGATTATGTAAATAATCAATTAATCACGATTAATCCGATTGTTTCAGCCCTACTTGACAGATTACCACATAGACCTTAAACATACACTATATTGCCAAAAGTATTTGCTCACCCATCCAAATTATTGGAATCAGGTGTTCCAATCACTTCCATGGCCACAGGTGTATAAATTCAAGCACCTAGGCATGCAGACTGTTTTTACAAACATTTGTGAAAGAATGGGTCGCTCTCAGGAGCTCAGTAAATTCCAGCGTGGAACTGTGATAGGATGCCACCTGTGCAACAAATCCAGTCGTGAAATTTCCTCGCTCCTAAATATTCCACAGTCAACTGTCAGCTGTATTATAAGAAAATGGAAGTGTTTGGGAACGACAGCAACTCAGCCACGAAGTGGTAGGCCACGTAAACTGACGGAGCGGGGTCAGCGGATGCTGACGCGCATAGTGCGAAGAGGTCGCCAACTTTCTGCAGAGTCAATCACTACAGACCTCCAAACTTCATGTAGCTCAAGAACAGTGCGCAGAGAGCTTCATGGAATGGGTTTCCATGGGCGAGCAGCTGCATCCAAGCCATACATCACCAAGTGCAATGCAAAGCGTCGGATGCGGTGGTGTAAAGCACGCCGCCACTGGACTCTAGAGCAGTGGAGACGCGTTCTCTGGAGTGACGAATCGCGCTTCTCCATCTGGCAATCTGATGGACGGGTCTGGGTTTGGCGGTTGCCAGGAGAACGGTACTTGTCTGACTGCATTGTGCCAAGTGTAAAGTTTGGTGGAGGGGGGATTATGGTGTGGGGTTGTTTTTCAGGAGCTGGGCTTGGCCCCTTAGTTCCAGTGAAAGGAACTCTGAATGCTTCAGCATACCAAGACATTTTGGACAATTCCATGCTCCCAACTTTGTGGGAACAGTTTGGAGCTGGCCCCTTCCTCTTCCAACATGACTGTGCACCAGTGCACAAAGCAAGGTCCATAAAGACATGGATGACAGAGTCTGGTGTGGATGAACTTGACTGGCCTGCACAGAGTCCTGACCTCAACCCGATAGAACACCTTTGGGATGAATTAGAGCGGAGACTGAGAGCCAGGCCTTCTCGTCCAACATCAGTGTGCGACCTCACAAATGCGCTTCTGGAAGAATGGTCAAAAATTCCCATAAACACACTCCTAAACCTTGTGGACAGCCTTCCCAGAAGAGTTGAAGCTGTTCTAGCTGCAAAGGGTGGACCGACGTCATATTGAACCCTATGGATTAGGAACGGGATGTCACTTAAGCTCATATGTGAGTCAAGGCAGGTGAGCAAATACTTTTGGCAATATAGTGTATAACCTCATAATTGAGCAGGTGACTTTGCTGTAAGTCATTTTCTCTGGTGTACCTATACAATTATGCAGATTATGTATGTTTTATGTTCACTGTCTTGAGTAATGTATCATGTCCATACAGTGATATTCAAAAGGATCTTCCTTATAGTTGTTTTTCTATTAAAGAAAATATCCTACATAAATAAAAATAAATGTTTTTTCAAAACAAAACAAAAAGCTGTTATTGTTTTATTCCATTTAAATTTACAGAATTTTACTGCTGACAGCCTTAAATTAAACATTCTTTTGGATTCACCTCAACAACATGCAGAAAATAACCTGTAATTAATTTGGACCAGCAGCTTTAAATTAATCACTGTTAATGTTAAAATCTATTTGAATTAGAAAATTATGTGAATATCATCAAAGTTCAAATGCACTGAATTCAAAGAGAGAAAAAATACATAAGGCATGTTGTATTTATTTCCCTGCACCAACAAGTGAAAAATGTAAACATATAAAGTTAAGCATGAAAACAAATACACATAAAAAGTTACAACACAAACATAGCAATCTGCTACAGAGCTACAGACAAATTTCTAAAGGAGGAAAATTCCAAGACATCATTGTGTAACAACAGGTTGGTGTATGTGTGACAGCCCTGGGTTTGGGCCAAACAAGCGACAGACATGCCAGTTTATTTGGACAAAATAATATTTTTATACTTATTTTTTCAGCAGCTACACAGTTTATTTTCATACAGAGAAGCAGTCGATGGAGGTTTTGGGAGATATCCAGTCAGAAATGCACAACATGCAGCTGTTGGTTGTCTGCATGCAACAATATTTATCATATTAATATAAAAACTAAGAATGATCATTCAAATGCTACATTGTTTCAAACTAAGAATACATTTTTTTTTGTATGTTCATGAGATGCAAAACAGCAATTCAATATCATTACTAAAACAAATTAAATAACGTTATAATTCAAATAAAATTAAGTGAAAAACAAAACAAAAGGATTCACAGCATAACTTCTCTTATCAGTCCTATATCTAAGCTGTCATTTTATACGAACTAAATTATAGACAAATGTACTAAATAAATTAAACTGTAAACAAGGATCCCACTATCAGTCAAGCAAAGCTACATCTCAGAGAGAACTGCTCCTGCCTTACATGCAGTCAGCCACACATTCACACAGCGAACAGTTTACCAAAGCCAAAACATTACAATTGCACACAGATGCTGCAAATGCTTTAGGCTTGCAGGGCTAATTACAACAATCAAACAGTAGAGGGCGATGTTTGCTCATGTTTCGATGTTGCATCCTTTGCACAAACATGCTACAGTGCCATTCAACATACATGGCCTATTTTCTGATGAGTGTAGTTTTTAAAAATAAAATTGAAATTCATTGATCTTTTTTAGTGTATATTGGGGAATTACAAAGTGCTTTAACCAGACATTTAGTCAAGTATGCAGAAACTGACCTTCTTAGATGGAAGGCACTAAAAAAAAAATCTAAATTTTTGAATTATTCATCTGGGTAAGAAGTAAAAAAATTGCATTTCATTTGATATGCAATTATGAAATTTAACTCATTTTATTTAGATGCATCTTTCCACAATACATTTGAAATGAGCATAGTTTTTGGTCCTACTAAGATCACCAAGGATGCATATCGCCAAATAGATTCCTTGTGGTTGGAGCATGCTAAGTAGTGGTCTGGTTAAAGGCCATTCAAACAGATACATCCTAAGATGAGATCATGCAAATTTAATGCAGTAATGGTGATAACAGAAAAACATTTTTTTGGGGGGTGGGGCATGTTTACTTAGGGCATGCCATGAAAATGCACACGTGACATAACACAGACCAGAGCACAGAGACACAAGCTCAAACCTCTCTGCATTTCGACCTGTTATGCTACATCTCTGTTATCTTCATTCACTCCTTTCTCTGCACTCTCAGGCTCTCTGAGGAAGAGTGATGTAATGTGACCCACACTCTGTACTGAAGAAACCTATATGCTGTGCATCCGACAGGTTGCATCCAACCTTGGTCTGGTTGAAAACAATTGCTTACACACCCTACCAACCCGTTCTCTTCGCATGCTACCTCAATGTTGTGCAAAACAACTAATTTTCCACAAGTCCTGTCCCAATCCATTTCCACATTGCTCCAAAGACTTTCTTCCAGATTTTTCTTGATGGATTAGGATCAGGTAGGTGTTTGATCCTTCCTCAGTACATTCTCGAAGCTTAAAACAGAGATAATTCATGCAGGCAATCTGGGCTCGATCTTAAGTGAGAGATCATAGAGCGTGTCCTCGTCCATGGTCAGAGTCTTATCCATAAGATACTGAGTGACCTAAGCCAGAAAGGCAAGTGGGGGGGAAAAAAAGTGTTATTCATGCTGGTTTGGCATAGTTGCACCACATAGCTGAGAGAATTACATGTCTGAAATATTTCACACAAAAATATAAAAAATGACATGGGTGATTTTATAAGAGTTCTGTGTATTTCTTCAATAAACTGTTTCCAATGCAGACAGTGGTGATCCCTTTCCAAATTCTCCACATTTTGCTTTCCCAGAGTTGGGGTGGATGTCTTATCAATCATTTAATCCCTAATCCTTGCAATGGAATGAATGCATGTTTTGAATTTTAGCCTTAAGCATAAAAAATGTGGGCAGTTGGATAACAAATGAAGAAATTTTTAATTTAAAAGAAAATATTCACTCCACATCAAGAGTATCTGACAGGCAAGACTTAAAAAAATCTAACAAATACCTGACAGATAAGACAACATTTTGAGCTTATAGCTCTTAGAGAACTATTAAGCTGTTGCTGAACTAACATGAACATTTTAATTAATCCAAAGATATTGAAAAAAATAGTGACAGGATTGTAAGTAGGAAAATAACAAATTTTCCAACTCAAAACTGTCTCATTTGAAATTTGGTTGCATGAAGTTAAAAGTTGCATAAAAATGCTGTAAGGAGGGAGCACAATTACCCAACTCATCAGAGAATACCACCCGTCATAGTATCCAAATATATGCACATATTTTGCACTTTTGAATCTACTCAAAATTACTCTCTTTATTAATAGTTAATAATATTTTCTCTAATGCTAAAATATTAATCAACATTTTTTTTCCTCTGGACAGTAAAAACAACACATTTTCTGTAAGAAATGTCAAATTTAAATCTTTCCCTTTTAATTGAATGCAAATCTGCAACAAATTACTCCAGAAATTGAGACACTGCAGCACAAAATTTAAAAAGAAGTACCTTAGGTTGATGCTCTATTCTGTAAGGTGTCTGCTGAAACTGTCTGATCTCTCGGATGATATGTGATATCTAATGGAAATGTAGAGAAAAAAAATATACTTAATGAACAAAAGAAGCCCAATATATATATATATATATATATATATATATTTTTTTTTTTAATTTTTATTTTTTTTTTTTTTTGCTCAGATTTATGAGACTTTCATGCCTACCATCCTCATTTTGGAGAAATTAACAAGACCCTCCTCAGTAAAATTGGGAGTTCCTTCCTCGATAAAGGCCAAGTCTGTCAGGTACATTCCTAGGTATGGCACACATGGAGGGTTGCAGCTGGATGACAAGCATTTGAAAACAAATCAGTTGAAGTCAGAAGTATGTACACATATAATCTGCATTAATTTTTTTAACAATTCTGGACTTTCAATAACTTCAAAATGTAGCAGAACTTAAAATTAACTTGTGAACTAGATGGACAAGCTTGCATAGAAAATGGATGGATTAAATGGATCGAAATCTGAATTTATTTGACTTTTCCAAAGCTTAAGGTTGATTTCTTAGGAAGGCCATCCCTCATGGTTGATGTTAGATTATGTGTATTCTTCTCAGAACCTGCTAAGTAGAGCTTTTAACCATCTGGTTGTGTATTTGAAAATAAGTTGAAGAGCTTCAACATATATCATAAATAAATAAATATCGGAAAAGGTTTTTAAAGGGCTAAAATAGGCTAAGCTTTGAAAAAGGCTGACCTTGTAGATAATTTGTATATTAATATAACATATTCCTGTCATAAAGCGAGGTATGTGACCCATTCCAACCCTTTTACAACCATGTTCAATAAATTAGACCATTATTAAAAATATAATCCAGTTAAATTCAGTTTGTGAAACACATTCTTTAGATCAACAAAGAGTTTATTTCTGTTCACTATAATTATTTATCAACTGGAAGAAATCCATCATAAATTTATACCCAACTTTGTTTTCAAAAATTACTGAAGGGGTTTGTTATGTGACTAATGAATACTTAAGAACCCACCTTTAAACTAAACCTTAAAACCACCAAACTTAAAATGTACACAAGTTCAGATATTTTTTGGTCTTACTTTTTTAGTGTCTCCCTCAGGTTTTTAAATCTTCCCTCAGACGACACAGTCTTCTGCAGTTTATCCATCAGAGCTTTAGTCTATACAATACCACAAACACATTTATTTAAAAAGAATTACTTCAAACAAAACAAAAAAGACAGACATGCATGCTACATTAAGTTCTGACCCACTTATTTTCATTGCAGTGGTAACAATCATATTAATTGTAAACAGTCTCCTTAGTAGATAACTGGTTATCTGTAGATTGTGTTAAAATAAATAGGATTCACATTGAAAAAGATCCTAAAAGCATTAGGATCTTTTCACTGTGATGTCACAAAAAAAATGGTGGAAAATGTAAAATTATTTTTTACATGTTGCTTGTACCTGTTTGCTGACTTTAGCCCAAGTCTTCTTCAGACGGTAGATGGCGCTGCGATTGAGTGCAGATGTGATCTCCAGCACCCCGTTGTAGTTGTTCAGACAGCGGCAGATGTCTGCCACTGCAATCCACTTTTCAATAGAATTGGCTCTCGAGCCAACATCAGTGTGGCTCATAATCTGAGATGCCACCAGGTTACTCATCTGGAAAGGAAATAAGACGTTTTTAAATGAGTTTGGGGGCCCTAGTGATAAATGAGATATATATTAGAACAGAAACATAAGTTACATCATTAAAGTGTTGACTTGTTTTCATAATGTAGGGAGTCCTTTCATTCTTATCAACCTTCATCCAGCCCTGACCCAGGAACTCTCTAAAACAGGGGAGACAAAGACAAACTGCTAAGATCAGATCAGCTCTTTATTGTATAGCACACCTACCTGGGGGTTTTGCAGATGCTTTCCTCTGGGGTCTGGCTGCTTTTAAATTATTTAAAGAGCAACATTAAGTCACTAAACTCTATGACCCCTTTTGTTTTTCTACATATAACACATGGCAATTTATAGCATCGCAATAAAATGTTTATACTTAAAAGATCCATATCCCTGTCACAAAAAAACCCTGATAAAAAATAGAATAAAATAGGATTTTAACTTAAATAAAGTAATTCTTCACTAGCACTATTAACAGATAAAGAAAACTTTTCAAGATTCAATATAACTTTTATAACTTTTCAAGATCTAATAGCCATTTAAAATAGCTATTATCATTATAATCTTCACGCTTTCATGGCTTGGAACCTGTCTTTCGTTTACAGCCACTTATAAACTACCAGTAGTATGTGCAATATCCTCATTTATATATATGTGGCAGTACCAAAATACTCTGCACGTCTTATCAGTTGCACATGCAATTTTGTAGATCACCTGCAACTTGTCCACTTATTGCAAACACCATGTTTTCCAAAGAACTTAGCACTTCTTACATGGAATTCTTTAAAAATAAGATCTGATTGTCAGATGCAAGATATAAAAGAAGTAAAAACAGAAAAAGCAGCGGAAGTACTGTATAACAAAAAAAACCTTTGCTATGAAGCAAAGTTAACTTTCTCTATTAATAAGTTAAATAAACAGGTTGGCTGATTGAAAGCAAATTTTAAAGGTGAATCTGAAAGTACAGCTCTAGAAAACATTTGATCATAAAAAAATTACTAATCTCAATACCAAAGTACACAGATAATCTTAAGCATGTTTATAATTTTGCAGTGTTTTTCTAAAAAAGAGAAGAAAAGAGAGTATAATGAAAGGACTGACTCATAGGGAATGTTCCTAAAGACGATGTGATCCAGCAGGGTGATTTGCTCAGCCAGCTCCATTGCAGAGAGGGATTCAAAACACTCAGCCTTTGGGCAGTCCGCCTTAACACACAGGTGGAGAAAAGACTGATAAACAAGCACAAATAGCACCTTATAGATATTTAAGAGGGAGACATGATGATTGTCGTCTGGTCAGCAAAGGTTCTTTTTAGCCTTCTTCTAGTGGACTCCAGCTACAGCCTCATACAGCCACAATAAAGCTACCGTCTACCATTGCACTGGTTAGATATGACAGGCTAGAACCTCCCAAAGGTTAAAAAACAGCAGCTAATATAATTTATGTTTTTCAGCCTTTTCAGAATTACTTCTGGTGATGTTGGTGTAGCCAGTTTGTAGGTTAAAATGGGGTATTTTTATGATAGTGTGTAGTGCCTTGAAACCATTTTTTAACGCCTAAATCTTTATACAAAATGTTGCAAGTTACAACAATAAACATCTAATTATTCTGTCCATGCAGTTTTATGTAACAGGCCATAATAAGTGGTAAATATTTGTTAAATGTGGTAAAACATTTTAATGTTCTTAAAGTATACAACTCTCAAAAATGTGGTGGCAATTTCTACTAAGCTACTTTATGTTCAACTTTATGGAACAACTGCAAATACAGCTGGTAGTTGTTGGGGGTATGTCTCTTACAGTACAGCTTTGCTCATCTAAAAACTGAATCTTCAGATTAGCCAAAGCTCAATTAGATATTTTAGAGACCATTCCTGAAGATAAACGTTCATGTCCTCAAACCATTTCTCAGCTAGATTTTGGCCTTTACTTTGACTGGGCCAGATCCTTTAGCACTTTCTTTTCAGGATTTCTCTACATCTAATGCAATTCACTTTCTAATCAACTCTGACATGCTATCCTGCTAAAGAAAAATAATCCTCACAGCATGATGCTGCCAGTCTGTGTATATTAAGGCAGTCTGTTCTTTGCATTTGAAACCAAAAATATAAAACAAAAGAAAAACACACTGGTGTTCTTGTTTAACTAACTGATAACTAACTGGTCCTTGCATGGTTTGTGTATTTTTTGGTCATTGGATTCACTACATGAATATTCAAAGACCAGTTTGTAATCTGTTATGTAGTTTTGGTTCAATAACTGAGCAACAACCAACGAGTGTGTTTTTGTTTTTCTCAAGTTTGGTTCCCAAACGCAAAAACAAACTTCCTGAATATACACAGAATGTTTAATATGTTTAAACAGTCTGTCATTAATATGTTTTAATATGTTTCTACCTAAAGAACTTGGTAAACTTTAAATAGCATTTCTTGCAGCATTCTTTTAACAGCGGCTTATTTCATGCCTTGCTTGCATAAGGGCAGGGCTTACATGTGCAATCATTTTAGAATTATGTTTATACAGTATTTAGCAGCATCTTTTTATAACTTTAAATTGTTTTCTTTTAGCGTACATTATATTTTACATTTTTTGATTTGTGTTTTTTTCACACAAAAACTGTCTTTAAAAACTCTAGTTATCTCACCATCTGTAAAATATCCTCTATCCTCAACTGGGCATCTTCCTGCTCATCTTGAGAAAGGGCACTAAGAAAAAAAAAAAGGGAACAAAATAAAGAAATCTCTCAAAATGTATATTTAAAACAGTAATTGAAATTTAATGACAGAAACCGATTTATTTTGTTTTTCTTCTCAACATACTCTGGTGCTATGTGTTGTGTCGCACCTTAGAATGTTGGCAGTAGCTTTTCTCTCCTGAGGCAGGAGGTCTGGATCTCTTAGCACTTCCTCGAGGAGATAAATCACTGACATCTTCAGCTCCCCATTCATCTCAAAGTCCTAAGCACGAAGACATAAAGAAAACTACACTGAATTAGCTCATATTAAAAACAACTAAGCAATGGATGTAAGTTTATTCCACTTTTTCCATTGACTAGTTTTCCAGATGAGCATGTACAGACGTATCAGCATGTTTCCAACTATAGCAAATCCCCTCAATACAAATCTGTACATCATACTGTACAAGCTTCTTCCTATTCACGTTCAAACAAAACGTTTTTTTGTTTTTTTTTATTCAGCTTTAACCATCTCTTCTTCATCTTTAGCCCCTCTGGGCAAATTAACGTGAAAGCATGTGTAAGTACGGTATGAGTTTGCTGGTGTTAATAAGCCGACTAAAGCTAGCTTGTCATTGCAGTATTTTGTATTACTGAAGAAAAATACAAAACAACAGATCAATGTAGTTAGCCTGGAAGGACCTCCGTTAAAAGTCATCCAATTGGTTGGCGTTCAATCCATTAAATATTCGCCATTAGAAATAGGAGTTGGATGGGAGAGCTGGCTGTCCGGCTGAAACAGCAGAAATATTTTGTGAGTGTCTGTGTGCAAGCAAGCTGTTTACATCTTTTTAGCAGAGTGCAATGGAGCAGCAAGAGAACCCATCAATCACCTGCTTTAATTAGGCCACAAAAATGCATGAACATAAGCAGGAACAATCAGACCTGAACATAGCAGTGGGTGGAAACAGACCTGTGAGTGTTTGGAAACCCAGTGACGCAGCACATTGAGGACTCTGTTGGTGGCAGCTCTGCGGATGATGAACTCTTTATCACAGGTCCTCTCAGAGTTAGTAAATACTGCAAGGGAAAGCAAATACAAACAAAGTAAAAGTAGTTATGCATAACAGTTTCATTACACAGTGTTTTCACAGATTACTCATCTAACTAAAGTGTGAACCTGCCACATATCCCAAAGTTATGATTGTCTTAGTTAGAGAGCACCCCAAGGGAAGTGAAAACCTGTCCAGGGCCCAGAAAAGCAAAAAAAAAAGAATACATTTTTTTTAGAAAATATGTTTTCCAAAATGTCTGGTTTAACATCAGATATCTGTATCAGGAGCCATACCAAGGTGCTTTGGTAGACATAGCAAAGAAAAAGTTCTCTAATCACTGATGTTTATGGATAGTTTTTATTTTACCTCTAAATTGATCCAAATAGAGTATGTCAGAGTATTAGGGCCAGGCAAGAGATTTTTTTATTTTTATTTAGAGACAAAGTTGTAACATTACGAGAATAAAGTCGCTAGGGGAGTATTCATGAAAGTACGAGAATAAAGTCGTAACATTAAGAGAATAAAGTCGTAACATTACAAAAATAAAGTTGTATTTTATGACATCTCTTACAAAAAGCACTTTCTTCCCTAAAATGAGGAATTTCGACGATCATGTGAAGTTATACTTTGACATCAGTTTGAGATATAAGGAAATCTTTTAGTGCACCAGGATCAAATTGTGCAATATGTCAAAGTGGACTCAGGTTGCTGATTGGTGGTGCTGGTCTGCCGTCATATGCTGGTTGGAGCTCAAAGCTTTCTTTCTTTTTTCTTTTTTTTTCCGGAATGGGGGACAATAGTTGAATAAACTCAAAAGGGTATCTGTGCCCTATTTGTTGGTACTCGCCGATACCGATACCACCATTTTAGAGCTGGATCGGGGCCCTGCCTGGTACTGGTACCGTTATCGGTGCAACTTATGATGTAACTTATACATAATGATGTAACTTATGTTACCTAGTTTCTAAGAATAAATTTTTTTTTCTTAATTTAAAATCAATATTTTATTTTACAGAATTTAATAATTTAGCGCATTTTTATGTATTATTACTTTTTAAGTTTTGTGTTATTTGAATTACTATTATGAATGATTTATTATTTTCTTTAATTGGACTGTATGTAAATCTTCAAGCACAAGTATAGTTAGAAACCTGTTCTAAAGGAAGAAGCTTTGGCTAAGTTATACAGTAAATAGAAACAAGGATCTGTTTAAGGCTATGAGCATTTAATCAGTGGGTTGTTAGCTTAAGTTTTTAGTCATCCAGAACATGATGATTCTCAATGCTTACATAGGCAGGATAAGGTTATTTATATAGCACATCTCAGTGGCCAGATGATTCAAAAATGAGGGGAAAAAAAGGAAATGTACATTTCAGTTGAATTAAGAAACACAAATATATAAAGAGAAAAAAGATGAATAATTGAAAATAGAGATTAGCTGGATTTATTTACCACTTTCTTTTTTTCTTTTTTTTTTAACAGTGTCCTGTCTGGCAATGTGGGAATAAGAATTATTGTCTTGATGCCAAAAAGAGCACAACAGATTTTACTTTCACAAGTGGAGCAGTACGGCTATTGCCATAGTGTTCCGCTTGTTTCATGCATATAAATGGCTTTATTATAATTATGCAGGGAGTTTTACAGATTATTTGGACACTGCAATGTAAATAGAATAGAAGATGAAAAACAGAAAAAAAGGAGAAAAGATGAAAGCAAGAGGAGATAGAAAGGATATAATGATAAAACATTTTCAGTCTGCTTCATCACCTGCAACAAGAACAGCACAACCAACCCAAAAGCTCAAAGCTTTCTTTCTGAGAAACTGGTTGTAGTATGATGACTTAATTCTTCTTATTTTTCAACTTTATTCTAATAATATAACAACTTTATTCTCATAATGTTGCGACTTTATTCTTGTATTATTACGACTTGATTCTCGTAATGTTGCGAATTTGTTCTTGTAATATTACAACTTTATTCTCATATTATTACGACTTGATTCTCGTAATGTTGCGAATTTGTTCTCGTAATATTATGACTTTATTCTCGTATTATTATGAATTGATTCTCATAATGTTGCCACTTTATTCTCGTAATATTACAACTTTATTCTCGTATTATTACGACTTGATTCTCGTAATGTTGCAACTTTATTCTCGTAATATTACGACTTTATTCTCGTATTATTACGATTTGATTCTCGTAATGTTGCAACTTTATTCTCGTAATATTACGACTTTATTCTCGTATTATTACGACTTGATTCTCGTAATGTTGCGACTTTATTCTCGTAATATTACGACTTTATTCTCGTATTATTACAATTTGATTCTCGTAATGTTGCAACTTTATTCTCGTAATATTACGACTTTATTCTCGTATTATTACGACTTGATTCTCGTAATGTTGCGACTTTATTCTCGTAATATTACGACTTTATTCTTGTATTATTACGACTTGATTCTCGTAATGTTGTGACTTTACTCTCGTAATATTACGACTTTATTCTCGTATTATTACGACTTGATTCTCGTAATGTTGCGACTTTATTCTCATAACATTACGACTTTATTCTCTTTTATTATTACGACTTGATACTCGTAATGTTGCAACTTTATTCTCGTAATATTGCAACTTTATTCTCGTATTATTATGACTTGATTCTCGTAATGTTGCGACTTTATTCTCGTAATATTACGACTTTATTCTTGTATTATTACGACTTGATTCTCGTAATGTTGTGACTTTACTCTCGTAATATTACAACTTTATTCTCGTATTATTACGATTTGATTCTCGTAATGTTGCGACTTTATTCTCATAACATTATGACTTTATTCTCGTATTATTACGACTTGATACTCGTAATGTTGCGACTTTATTCTCATAACATTACGACTTTATTCTCGTATTATTATGACTTGATTCTCGTAATGTTGCAACTTTATTCTCGTAATATTGCAACTTTATTCTCAAATTAATAAAAAATCTCTAGCCTGGCCCTAATACTCTGTCATAAATAGAAAACATCTATATCAATTAACAGGTGAAATCATATATCAATCTAGTTTACCTGTCTCCTTAGCACATGGAAACATTTCAGCAATTAGAGTGGACTATTTTTGTTCTTCAAAATGGATTTGGTATTCGAGAAAAGCAGATTTGTGTTTATTTTCACAGGAAACTACTACAAGAAACCAGCAGCTTGTGTTAACTTGACGGTATCTGAAATCAGAGCAATAATAATAAAAAAAAGGTTTAAAAGAAGGCAGAACATGGATACAGATTTATTGTTCGCCTTCACACAGTGTTGATGCTTATAAAGCTAAAAAACTAAATCTCCTAAATTCACAATTAAATTCACAATTAAAGAAGTCAAAACAATGCCGCAAACTAAATTGTCCTTCCGTCACATCAGGGTGAAATGCACTCAATAGTTTCAATGGAATTGTGTTTTTAGCCATACAATAAAACACTCGCCTCTGTTTATAGCAAGCTAGTTTTATCATAAACAAAAGAGTATGCTGAAAACCCTTCCTGCTTCGAGACTGTTTCTATTATGAATCTTCTTAAAACTTTGTTTAATGGCATGGCTGTATGGTCTCATTAAAACACCAGGACATTTTATATTTCATCTCTTTAAAACCTACCTCAATCAAAGATTAGATTTGAAAATACAAAAAAATGTTGCACATAGTTAGAGCTGATGCCTAGGGGTAATATTTAAAACTTTTTAATACACATTAACCAGGGATATTAATAACTGTGGAGAGCACTTTAGGTTAAAATACAGTGATTGTTTTCATATTTAATATCTAAGAGTTTTTTATGCTTTCATTTATAATCCTAATAAAAGGGTTTTATTATCTATGAAATCATAAACACTTTTTTAATTAATGTTTCACTCCAAACGCATTAGATACATTTTCGTAGATGATGCTTTAAATTATTTCGGTACCGCATTTCACTTTTACAAATTTCTCCCAAATACATTGTATTTAGACCCCAAAAAAATGTTACTAAAGAATATACCATAACAAGAAAAGGGCCCTGGTGTAATATTGGACAAGATTTCAATTCATACAATTGTTAAATAAAATATTTTATTTCAAACATAAATTGCTCTCTGAACCAGAAAAAATAATCAAATTACAAGTTATATGAGACAGAGCTCTGTTTTTAGTATTCTTCATTTATTAAAGAACATGAAATAAATGGCTCAGTTCAAAGCTCCACAGCAGGTTTCTGTTCTGTGTGCATTTTGCATTTACCTGGCGGGGTACCATGTCCTGCTCCTGCAGTTGCAATAGCAAAGGCTGAGGCAGGAGACACTGAGCAGCGTGAATTCTCCCCAGACTGAACTGCAGACACAGACACATTATTATCAATAGTAGCAACACTGCTGCTGTTTTTTCCTTTTACAATCAAAAAGAAAAAAGGGCTTTAAATTACCACTTATCAGCATATCAGGATTACTGTGGCTCCACATAAGTCTCTTGCTGTTATGAGCCAAACCTTTATTGAAGTCTGAAATAATGTCTGCCGTGAAAATGTTAATCTGATCTGTTGACATTGTTTATAGCCTAAAGATAATTTGCTCTATAAAAAGTTAAATATAATCTATTTTAGCTTAAATTTCAAATTAAAACTTTTAAATTAAAAACAGTTTATCCAACATGAGCAAAAAGGTTCAATTCATTTAAATTAAGTAGTTAAATAATGTAGTGCTATTGTGTATCAAATGTCGTCTCATGGGACCTTTAAAAAGATTTTAAAAGGAAGATTTGGGATAGATCCATTCTCAGTTAAATGTTATCATAAATGTAAAAATAATTAACTTCATAAACGTACATGTGGACCTTATCACTGTATAACTTTACTTACAAAAAGGTGAAAACCACAAACAAAAAACAGTTTGTATTTTAAAAAAAGAATATTTAATAAGGATTAAAAATCTCCAAACTCAGATCATGAGGATAAACACAGAGATCAGTATCACCATCATTCTAACAAACATTAAGTCCCTTTTTACCAGTGCAGTCAATCAATGTCATTCTTGTGTTCCATTTGCAGGGTTGCTGCATTTACAACCATGCAAAAAATATATTCTTGAACACTTTTAGGAACTTGATCAACTAATGCCATCATATGGTTTGAAGTTTGTGATATGTTTCTGCTGCATGGAAGCTGCCACCAAGGTTGCTCTGCTCGGAAACCTGCTTGCAGACACAGCATTGCTCACCTGGCATTGGGGATAAAATAGTCAGGAGTGTGTTTGTAACAAATATAAAGACGCCCACGGACCTACCTCCAGACTGTCTGTAGCGGAGGTGGCGTGGTGTGGATGGAGAGCGACACGGAGACATGTCTCCTGCTTCGCTGCTCTGCGGAGACTCTGGGATGATTTTCTCCAACGACACAGATTCCAACACAGCTAGACAGGAGATCCATTTCAGAAGAAAAAAAGAAATGACAGAATGGGCTATAATAGTGACAACTAGTGAGGTTTTTATATAAGACAGCATTTTCATATGATTATGTTCTGAATTTCTTTTGTAATAATAATTTGTGTTATTATGAACTTTTTTATTATTTTTTTATTATTATTTTGTGTTTATTATTTTAACAAGTTCATAAAAAACTTGAAATTTCTGAGTTATGCATTAAAAAACTGTGCTTGAGTGCAATGAGATTTGAAATAGTTTGAGATATAATTTACTAACCTAACTGTACTTAAGTTACCCAACGTGCTGGGTCTCTTACTCCTTATGGTGTTGTTTATTCACAGATGTGTCTAACAAACCTCTGAGGCACTCATAAAACAGCTGGATTCATACTGAGATTAGGTTATGCAAAGTTTAACTCTAGGTAACCAATGAGAGCACTAAGCTGCACCATATATAGTTTAGAGGTATCAACGTATAGGATGTAAATTGATATCACATTTTAAAGTTGTTAATTTGCAAAACATTCTACGTAAAATAAAAATGAAGGGACAGTCTTATGGTTTCTGCTAATCATATGAAAAAGTATGCGAAATTTAGGAAGCAAAGACCTAACTTATAGCTACATAATACTAGAGGTGAGTATTGGCATGAGTGTTGCGATTCGATACATGTCGCGATACTTGGGTCACGATGCGATATTATCACGATATTGCAGTATCACTATATATTGCCATATTTTCCCCAGCTATCAAAATCAAATGATGAGATAAAACAGCAAGTGCTGTATATTTTCATCAGAAAATATTGATTAGGTATTATTATCCATGTTGTTTGGGGTTTTCTTCCACTGTGACTGCCTCAAATACAGATTTGGTGCTGCACGCACAGTTAAAGGGCTCCACAGCGCTTTCTGCCAGAGTGGTGGTGCAGAGGTAGCCCATTTTACCATCAATGTTTTATGTAACCATTTTTTTTTTTTTAAATCGATACTAAGAAGTGAAAGATCGATATTATATTGGGCAGCCGAATATCACGATAAATCGCCAAAACGATTATTTCCCACAGCCCTACATAATACTGGCAAAAGAAAACCACAAAATGAAAATACATGATGCTAGTTTAGTTAAAAAAAATTACACTATGAGAACTTTTTAAAGGCATATTTAAATTACTGGCGGTGCTGATATACTGTATATTGTAGCTTAGGTGTTTGGAGAGTTTGTTTTTAAGGATATGTGGAAATACTTCTCCTAATGCTCCGTCTCAGTTTTCCACAGAAAGGATCAATCCTAGGAACCTCCTCTCCATCAGCTGCTGGGATAGGGCTCTGGTCCGGCGAGGAGGGAGTCAGAGGAGCTTGATCCTGTGACGACTTGCCGTTGTCCGGAGGAGGAGACGAGGAAGTGGAGGGAGGAGAGGTCGCTGTTGGGGTAGGTGTCTGAGATGTCGGCGTTTGGGGAGTCTGTGCAGAAGTAGGGCTATTTGCAGCAGACTGGGAGCTGTTGTGGTTGAAGTTTGAGTTGGATAGAGGAGATGAAAGGTCGAGGCCTCCCACCCGGCCAGTGAGGGGGGTGTGAAGGGAAAGCTTTCGGGTTCGAACAGGGGAAGAGGTTCGGGACTGGATAGACAATGGAGGAGGAGATGAGAACTTGCGGCAGAGACGAGGAGATCGGTCGTTCATGTTCTCACTGCCTCTGTTATTTTGGTTTGTGGCAAAAAACAACTCCAAGGATCTAGAGAGAGGAGAAAAGCAATATGTTGGTAAAATAATAAGCAACAAAAAAGCAATAAAGAACGAGTTCAGGGAAAATAGGAGCAAAGAAACTTAACTACAGCAGGGTGAAGAAAAAAGTTTTTCTCCATAGTTTTTTTTCTAAAACTTTTTTCAAACTGTTTTTATTATAAGGGGAAAGTTTTATATGGGCTAGGATACTTTCTTCAATTGAATGTGTTACATGGGACTGGGAGGGCTTAAAGCTTGTAGTTATTGAATTTGTTCAGAGTGATTTATACTGAGAGGGCACAGAGTGGCCAGAGGCTGTTAGAGCAGTGACAATTTTTTTTACTGTGGTTCATCTGTATTTCATTACACTAAGCTGGAAATAAAACATACTTAAGGTTACCCTGGTAATACTCAGCTTTATTTCCCTAATGTTTACATACAGCCATTTAAAACATCACAAATATCACTTTGTAAAGCCTGGGTGATAAGTCAGCTTCAACAACATAAATGAACATGAGCTAAATACACCTCAAACAATTCTAAACCACAGACACTTTTCATCAGTTTATCCCTTGGCTCTGAGAAGCTTTATGGCAGCTGTCAGGTTAGCTTGGTTTTATGGCCTGAAACTGTTCAGGATCAATTTCCACTTTCCTTAGAGTTTGTGTTGTGCAGCTTATTTCCACAAAGAACCTCTAATGGGTTGAAAGGAGTTTATACTGGTGCACCCCACGTGGACCCATTTAGCGACACCTAAATGATGACGCTGCTTTAACAGCAAGTGATATAAATATTTTCTTTGAGTAAATGGTCTTAAAAACTTATTAATCTTCATAATACGTTTTTTCATTCATCAAACATAATACACCATACTTAATACATAAAATAGGAAAGCCCTTACTCTTGTATAGCATTTCAAAAGGCTGGAGTTCACAGAGTGAATTTTCTCTGGCTAGATTATCTACAGCAGAGTCCTGTATTTTCTCTCTTGTATTTGTTTCTTAGGCTCCCTAAACAGGTTTTTCATATGATTAATATCTGGGGACCAAGCTGTGGGAGAGGTTTATTTTGTATGTGTCCATTTGGCAGTATGGTCCTGCTGGCCCTCTAACAAGCATCTCAAGTCACTTCAAAGAGATACTGGGCCATAACATAACAGACTCCCCGGCATACTGAACAGATTTTATCTGACCAAATAACACAGTTTCAGTTAATATAGCATCAGAGTTCAAGCCATATGTTTGCGTTTGTAATGGTAAGAAAAATAAATTATGTTTTTAAACTTTTATGTTTACATTGCTGTAATGGTAAACTCTGTGAAAAGGTTTAATGTAGTTATTAGACTAACTGGAGATGTGGTTTTGCTGTTTCTTTAATTATGTTTGCTCTTGCAGCACACTAAACTAAAATCAGTGCAAACATTATCATACCTTAATACTTTTAATACTTATGGTCATGTATCCAATACAGTACATGGATCAGAACTTCCAAAATTTTTGAATTTTTATTTCCCACATATAAAGACTTTCTGAGAATCCCCACGTTTGATACCTGATTCTGTGCCAAAACAACAATAAAGATTAAAATTAAAGTTGATTTTTTTTGCATTTTGAGCATCCACAGGAATGTCTCTTCCCGCTGTTCAAAAGTTGAATGTGTCAAAAAGGGATTTGTGGGTAAAGTATTCATGCAAAAAAAAAAAGACATCTCCTTCACAAAAGTCATATGAAACCAAAAGAAGTTTAATTTTAAAGCAAACATTTTTAAAGCTGAAAGGGGGTTGGTGTGTCAGCAAGAAATTGTATTCTAAAGAGCCACAAGCAGAGTAAGTGGGTTCAAAGTTAAGGGGATCCATTGATGGACATAAATTATTAAAATATCATATAAACATTTTATCAAAAGAAATAAAGAAAAATGCTGAAAAGAAAGACTAAAGGAGGTCATATTGCAGTAACAAAACATGTTTCAATGTTGATGCAGATTTTAAACATTAAAACACATTTGAAAGTTTTACTCTTTTCGGCTCACATGATTCAGTAGAATGTCAGAATCAGATGAAATAGCATACCCAAACAGTCATTCAGATAAAGGGTCAGTCTAAGTCAACAATAAAGCCATGCATAAGTTGAGTATCAGACCATAACCAGAGGAGAGGAGAAGCAGAGAGAAGTGCAGCAGAGACAGCAGAGGAAAGACAAAGTTACTTGGACTGATCCATGGCTATCTTCTTGATCTTCAGACTGTAGTCAGGACAGATAGATGAGATGGATAGACGGTCAAATGAGTGGCGCTGCGCCCTGGAATATGGGTGGACAGGAGAGACGCATGACATTAAATGAATTAATGCTGGGATGGGACGGATGGATTTAGACAGAAAATCCAAGAGGTACAACATCTTTGCAAAATGTTCAGAGGGATGGTGTTACAACAGGGATGAATTATTCTCTTGTGGAACATGTGTGCCTGAGGGAGAAGGAGACACTGTGAAGAAGAGAAAATAATGACTTCTGAGATGATCCGTGATCACGTTTGAGAAAACCCAACACCACAAAGAACAACCTTTTACTTCTAAATTTGTAAATATGGGTTGCTATACTCCATGCTGTTTATGTTTTACATATATTGTATTGCATTCTCACAGGGAATAAGTTGAAATGCAGATGTAGAACATTTGACTCATCTCTCCCTGAGATGGATATGGTTGTAAATTTAGCCATGAAGCAATCAGGAAGTTCCTTTACCTGTACAATTGTAGTCTTTAAAAAAAGGTTAAAAGAATAAAAACATATCTCTAGTATAGGTTGTCAGAAATTTCTCATAATGGCAGGTCAGCTTTTTGTATGTTACCCCATGATATGAAAATGTATTTTTTGTACAGAAATGTACCTTTTAATCCCTATATCTATGTGACTAGTTTAGCAGAGAAGTAGTAAAATAATAAAGATACTGTTTAGCCATAATATATACAAACTGTATCAAGCAGCTTTCATTTAATCTTGCTGAAAAAGCGGGGATTAAAGCTTAAGATCTAGGAAAAGAGACCAGCTGCAGACATGCAACTCTTTCTAGTGCACCTCTAATGCCTAACTGGAACCATCTTCTTCTAATCCTGCAAAAACACATATTCAAGTGGAGTAATATACAAACTATGTCCTTTGCCACAGAAAAAACTTTTTTTTTTTCTAGTTAAAATAAAGAGCTAAGCAGAGATGTGGATAGGGCATAAACATTCTAATGTCACCAGAAATTTCCGGTAAAGAGACTTTATGACAAGTCTCTTTACCGTTTGGCATTGTCATAAAGTAGATCTTTATGACAATGCCAAACTAAATTTGTTGGAGCATCTATACTGTTTGGCCCTTCATCAAAAACATTATTTGTTTGAGCTCAGTGGCTTAATCCTGTAAACAGACTGAAGCACATGGAAGCCTAAAACAGTGCCCAACACCTGACTCTTTTATATAGTAAAGAAAAACAATTCAATCTAATCCCTGCAGTATATGCATGTGATGACCCAAGGAGTGATTTCATTACTGTATTTTTAGGAGAAAACTGTCAGACCTGATGGGTATGGAGGAAAACGGCTTCTTGTAGATATCAGCCAGTTTGTCCATGACCACGGTTGCCGTGGTGAAGATCCTATACGTATGTAGGAAGGTGTTCAGGAAGTCTATAGAGAGGAAGCGCAGGTCGGTCAGCCGCTCCAGCAGCCGCTCCACACTGGCGTAACGGATCTGGGGGACCTTGCAGGAGTTGAGCGTCTTGCTGAAGCAAATGTCAACATCATCTTTATGGAGGCGCACATCAGATCTGATAAATACACACGCACATACAGACACAAACACATACACAGAACAGCATGTGGGTGACTGCAGGGCAGCTCAGAAAGAAAAATACATTAAATGCAACAAAGCAAAAACACGGTCAAGCCAATAAAGAGAGAAACAAAATAAAGATAGAAATGAAAAGAAATACATTGAACTTTTAAGTAATACAAAAAATAAATTCACAGGTATACAGATCAATTAGTGTCAAAATGGTCACAAAGGTTTCAGAAGCAAAAACCACTTAGGTATCTGTGATTAAGATTTTGACATGCTCTTTCATGTCTCAGCATTTTCTTTAAATAAATTAATATAGAAAAGATTAGTCATAATTTTCTTATCATACATATTGTTTTCTTATTGTAATCAGGCATGGGTATCCACTCCAGTATCCTCATGGGATTATATTTCATAGCAAGGTATATACTGATACAGCATTTAAAGCAAAAGAATAAAAGATTATGTAACAATTTTATTTAACTACCTTCTATATATCATATTCTTGGGCAGCGGCGTAGGAAGCGGGGGGGACGGGGGGGACATGTCCCCCCCAATATAAAAGCCAGGTGGATATGTCCCCCCCAAAAATTGTACCGCAAAATATTAGATTTTGACATTTTTTTAACTAGCGTGCTTTTATTTTGAAGGCGCAGCATAGCGTTACGTCACTGTACTCCCCCTCCCCTCTCTGAACTGCTGAGTGTTTGAGCACTCAGTCAGCAGGGAGGGAAACGGCGACACAGAAATCAGAAACTTGTGAAAGAGGTAAAATAGTCTGTCGGGATGCTGCTATGAATATTGCCCATTTATAACGTTTTGTTTTTAGTTCACTTTCATATATAGAAACTGAATCTTTTTGGTTTAGTCATCTTAGTCTTGTACGGAAGAGGATTAGGGCCACTGGAAAAAAAAAGTTAACTGATTTTTACATTTTTTTTTTAGTTTAACATGGGGAAAAAAGTCAGAATTCTGACTTTTTTCTTCTGACTTTTTTCTCAGAATTCTGACTTTAATCTCAGAATTCTGACTTTTTTCTCAGAAATCTGACAGATGATTAATATTTCTAATCAATTTACAGTGTTTTAATTTTTTTTCGGGGGGTACTTATACAGATACATAAAAACAAGTAGGTCTAACTAAAAAATAACCAGAATATATGTTTAGAGTAAAGATTGACTAGTGTTTACACAAGCACACAATTTCAAATCTGCTGAGCTTGCTGTGCAAGAAAATGTAAAATATACGTATAAAGAAATATAACAGGAAGTACTGCTAAAACATAAACTAAATGTTAAATAATGTAGATATTGGTTTAAAAAATTCTTCAGATTTGGAAATTTGGAAGGAATACATAATTTTGAAATTAATCAACAAATCTGGTAAAAAATAAATAAATAAAAAATAAAAGTTGCACTTTTTTACTTGAGGAATTTGTTGAATAACTTCATAATTATGAGTTTAACTAGTTGGAGGTAATGCTACACTTCTCTGCTTCCTGTCCTGCTCATAAAAGGTAAACATTATAAACCCACCATTCATTTTCTACATTATTTGGAAAACACAACACAAATGTAATATAACAAAAGTATGTTTAAAAACAAACATGTTAGCATCAAGCCATAGGCATGTCTCTTTTAGAGACTAGCTCTCTTGTTTTAATGACCTTCTGCTCCTCCATTAATGAGGGGACCCCTCGGGTACGTAAAAAGTTGCCTAATTCTGTCATTTTCCACCAATGTGTCACTGGCCACCTCAAACAGCTCACATCTTTGTCAGTGAAGCTGAGTGCTCCACATCTCTGCCTTCATGGTGCCCATCTACATTAAGATCCAAAATTCTGAGATTAAAGTCAGAATTCTGAGAAAAAAAGTCAGAATTCTGACCTTTTTCCCGTATTAAACTGAAATTAAATTTAAAAATCACTTATCACTTTTTTTTTTTTTTCAGTGGCCCTAATCCTCTTCCGTAGTCTTGGGCTGATCACTCATCCAATATTTAACTGCTAACTTTCTCTAGACGTTTGCTACGCTAGCCAAAATGTTTTTTTTTTTTTATATATCTCATTTCAGTACAATGCCACCACCAACTAAAAGGCGGAAACAGCAGTAGGACTTACTCAGATTTTTTTAAAAAGAGAAACGTCAGTGCGAGTAACAGTCACCTAACACAACTTGTGTTGAAATTAGCCCGATCTGGGCGTGCGTTTAACGAGGATTTTTTTATTTTTTGCGTGGTTTTGATTCGCCGAAATTGACAGATGTTATACCTGCCGCGCTCCTGATCGTTAGTTAAAACCACTAATTAACCAACTAATTAACTTCTGCATCTTTATTTCCTCAAATAAACTGCTGGCTCCTCTTTTTACACTATAAACAGATTAACACAACATTGACAACTCTGTAGTTTTCTCTGTTCTGTACTGCAAACTGGAATTAAAGGCGCCATTTCTACCAAAGGTCTGGACAGACTGGCCACCTGTCTAGGGTGTACCCCGCACCAGCACCTCCCGACCCCACTAAGGGACAGGGTGCACAGAAAATGGAAGGATAGATGGATTTCTACCAAAGGTTTAGAATGCGATTTTGAACCAGATGCTTCAAAGCGCCCTGTCCGTAATTCTTCACCACACTGTCAGCTCCCTCTGTCAGTCAACCTATATAAATTCATTTTTGACCATTATTGCAAGTTTGACAAAATAAAACATATCAAACTTTGCACATGTGTGGCTTAGTGAATTGTTTTTAATCAAACTGAAATATTTGATTTTCTAGTGCGTATGCGGACACTAAATATGCTAAGGGTTGAAGCCCTTGAAAGACACCTCCCTTTGCTTAATAAAAGACTCCAGTCATTTTGTTTGGTGATATGCTCACATCTTATGAACAAATGCATTATGTAAATTTTAAATGCATTATTTTTGCAAGACACATTTATAAAGGAATAAAGTAAAAGATTAAATAGCCTTTTTTTTAAGTAGCATACTTAAGATATGTTTCTGTTGAATACGAATCTCAGATTTGCGACATGTGTCCCCCCCAATAGTAAACATATTCCTACGCCCTTGTTCTTGGGGGAGTTTTGGTCTGTTTGTTATCCAACATATTAGATAAGGAGTTTCACAGTTTCATATTCACTTTGTTGTAAAGTGATCTTCTAATAGCTGTAGCTATATTTATGTATGGAAGTGCAAAAAGATTATTGCACTTAGAGTGCCACAATTTTTCAGATTTAATAGGTTTAATTGGCAAAATTCAGAGAGTAGAAGAGCAATCAGTAAAAGTAGCATGAAAAATAAAATATTTTCAACATTTATTGATTTGATGCTGATTTTTATTTCAGTTATTTACAGAGATAAAAGACATGTTTAAAATGTAGGGGCCTGATCTTTAAAAATATTTGCTTGTTTTGAACCACTTTCAATCTTGTTTGCAAACCAGTTTTTGCTAACTTTACTGCATGTGTGCCCTCAGGAATATGCCGATCATATCCTAATAAGCAAAAACATTCTATGTTTTTGGTGGAGGACATGAATTTAAAATATTTACCAACCCTAAAGCAATTTATGAAGCCTAAAACTGAATACATCTATTTATAGTCTGTTTAAAATCTGCAGGTTAATCCAGACTGCATGAGTGCAAAATGTTTTTGTATGCTTCTGGTAGAACCACATTTTTGATTTATGAAATTATAAAAGGCTTTCCTGGTTTTCATTATTTTTGGTGAAGATGGAGGAGTTAGTGGAGGTAAATCCAGATCTTTAGAAAGTAAAGTCACTATATATCTGACTAAGGGGAGCAAACAAAGTCAGCTTTTCCAGGCTTAACATAAAATATCTTTTCAGTTTACCTTTTGTTATTTTGATCCTTTTATTGCTTTTATTTTGTAGCACTTAAGAGATACCTATGATAACTCATCATTATTAGTTAAACATGAATCCTGTCCAACTCCATGGTAGAACTTCTTTATGACCTCTCTAAAACTGCACATGCAATTTACTAACTGTAATGGCATTCCCCGATTCACCCATTGTGGCAAATCTTTCTACATGGAGGAGGTGGAGAGCGGAGCACTCAGCATGCACAAGGGAACACCACCAGCTCACTGGATCAGAGATGTATATCACAGTTGAGTCAAAATCCAAAGCCAAAAAGCTGAGGCTTTCAACAACCAAATTCATTTACATTTCACTTGACCGAAACATCAAATTCACCAGAGAGGACACCAGGAACATGTGAGAATATACGTATGACTCATGAGTTTCTGAGAATCTCAGGAGGATTTTCTCTGAAAATAACATACCAGGGAATTTCAAACCCTAGAAGACACTTAGATAGAAACTGGCTATTCCCAAAGACAGAACACCCAAACCAAGCTGAGCAGGGTTATTTATGTGTTCCAGCAGAGTGAGGACAGCTCAGACTCCTAAACTGAATAAAGCAAAGAACTACTCTAACACATTGTACAGCACAGGAAAGCCAGTAGTTCTGGGGAAGATTTTGCTGTATACTTGCACCTGAAGAACAAAAGACAGACCTTTCATGACTAAACATCCAAACTGTTTGGACAGAGAGGACAGATGGTTGGAAACAGGAGCCATTTAAGACATCTTTGTTAAAAGATGAAAATCCATCCTTGAACAGAGGGGAAGGGTTGCACTTCACATTCCCAAGCATCTCCAACTCTGTCCTAGAAATTTTCCAAAGAGATTAAACAAGCACACTCACCATGGTTCAAATGGCCAAACACATAACCCATACAAAACTACCGACTCTTAAGAGTCTGCAAGTGACTATTTGGGAGGAAGGACCTCCAGGTGCTTGAAGGACTGCTCTAATGCAAGCCAACAAATACTCCTGGATAGGTGTCCAGGTGTCCGAAAAACTGTGTGATAGTCCAGCTGCCTTCAATTTCGCATGTTTTGTGGATTACGTACATTCGTTCATACAGACATCCACACTCTGATGATGGCATGCTCCAGCCACAAAAGCCCCAGGAGACACTGACAATAGATGGAACTAGGGTTTGAACTGCTGACTCCCTGGATCTGCCACTGTCTGCCTGGACCTGTTTGCTCATGATCCTCTTTGCAGACACACCACAACAAAGCTACTTATTGCCTATGCATTTTTTTGAACAATGTAAATAAGTGCTCCTTGTTTGGAATTTTTGAAAATCAGGCCCTTGGGGGCTATTAGTTGTATGACACAGACTTGCATTTTAATTTTTTTTTCAGATAAATATTTATTTTGAAAAGCCAGGACTGAACAACTTCCTATTGCAAATAGTGAGATTTAAGCCTATTTCCCTATTGATCGTTTTTAAGGGGTGAAATGCTAGATAAATTCATGTTAAATTTAGGAAGAATGAACATGTTCATTGTACAAAATGGAATATTTTTGTCACCCTGCGGTTTAGATTAACATTTTACTTTCCTTTCTTCCTTGTGTTTTCTTGCAAATCTTACTTGAACTACCTTCTTATGTTCTGTCTTTTCTAACCTTCTTGCATATTTCTTTCTGCAGATTTGATATTTAAAAGATGAGAAAATATCTTCTATAAAGATATACTGAACTGCATTTTATATTCCAAAATGAAAGACTCTGAAATCTTGAATGGATTGGAGTATGGAATTTGTGAAAGAAAAATGTCTGTGACCTGAGAATGGATAATAATGGCTGCATAGCATAACATTTGCTTAATCAAGATAATGGGATGGATTCTTTAATTGTCTTTCATACCAACCGACTTGTCTGTAAGTAAAAGAAAAGTATTTAAGGGAAAAAGTTTGCAACCAAATACTGAAAATGTAGTCTAAGTTGAAGGTAAAAACTAGCATAAAACTCATATTACTCTGGAACTTTCTCTGTCATCAGATGATCATTATTGGGAAATCCAAGAAACTTTAAAGTTTGATACCTCTGTTTAGAAGCTGACCCATGCCTATTTATAACCCAGACTTGTGTCAACTTTGAAACTAATGTATTTCCATAAGTACTTTGCTTTTAACATGCAGATCACTCCAGCTGTAGAACATGAGGATATGCGTTGCTATTTTCACACAGAAATACTTACTTGATCATATGAGGCACAGTGACTTTTGAGTTTTCCTCAAACACACTGGTCATCAAGCCATTACAGCGGATATTATCAATACACTATAAATATGAAGAGAAAGAAAATTAATCAAACAAATGAAATGATTTGGTGAAGATTAGGTAGACAACTGGTGGAAAAAAAAGCAATTAATACCATCCTAATGTGGAGCAACTGTATCAAATAACAGTGCTTCATTGCTTTCTTATTTTTCCTGCTTTTAAATTATTACAAAAGTAGGGTTAATAAGGGAACGATAAGACAAGAAAGCAATTTATAAACATGTCATTGTATTTTGTGTTGCATGAATTAATCCAGTGTGACATGCTTGTCTGGTGTTACCTTGTTTGCAAGTAAAGAGGCGGCAAGCTGTAGTAAGCCCAGGGGTACAGCACCACACACTGTGTTTACTCATCACTAAGCCCCCTCAATGCCCAGCGGAGACATGCTCTTGCTGTTTGGCAGTGTTCTTGTTACTATGTGTTTGTATGGATCTATGTTGGTGTATTACCTGGCTTATATCACTGGTCCATGCAGCCTTCTCCTGCCGTGATGGTGCCAGCAGCACCACAGTAAATGAAGGCGAATCTGTTGGCTCCACCACCAGCTTAAAGTCCAGCTGACCAAACACCTGGCCAGCTGTTCTACCTGCATCACAGAGAAAAATAATCAGTTTTAAACTGTAGCACATAGCTTATTGCAATGGTTCCGAAATATAAAGCAAAAGCACAGAAGGTTAATTAAGCAGACCTTCTCCTGTTCACTCCTGACGATTATACATAAAACAGAGCATGCATATCCACATGAAGGCTTCACTCTTTATATTTATAGGCCTAATTACAAATCCTCCTAAACGCAAAAGGGATTCATGGGGAAGAGTTATCCTTCCTTAGTATTGAAAGATCAAAATCTGGTATTTAAGGAGATGAATTACTGTTCAACATCTAATTAACCTTCTAAAGTGATGAAGAGTCTATATAACCTAATAGTAGGTACTGAAGTAAAAAAGGAAACACTTTTCTTACATTCGTCATCATTAGCATCTGGTTCCTCTATGAGTGTGCAGTCGATGAGGGACAAAACACCACCTTGCTGTTAAATGAAGAAAAAAATAATCATTTTTTTTTCCAATTTCCCACTTATGTGTTGTTGCAAAACACGGTGTAACAGTGATATCACCTTTAGAAGATGCAATTTTCCACCAGAGCTGCGAGTGCAAACAAGGCAGTGTTTTGTGAAGAGAAAACACTGCCGCTCTCCCTCTTTCTTTAATGACAGAGAGCCCAGACGGACCTTGCTTAGTTTTCCTCGCTCCACAGATGGCAGCTGGATTAGAGAACCTGTGGAGGGCCACATGATTATATTATTATAACTTTTCATCAAACTGGTCCTATGCTCGGAGTTCACTGTATCAATCTTCTGTAGTATCAAAAATATGTGCAAAAAGGAAACATACGGCTGAACTCAGACTGCAAGAGCTTTCAGACTTTTAAACTGATATAGGGCTGCAACTAATGATTATTTTGCAAATCGATTAATCTGTTGATATCTTTTTTTTATAATCGATTCATATTCCAATAGCCAAAAGTTCTTTAAAGAAGACATCTTACGAAATTAAACCAGGTGAAACTCAAACCTTTTGAATTGAGGAGTTCCGAATAGAGTATATTGACAGACAAACATTTTTTTTTTATCTTAAATGCAAAATGTTTGCATATTTTTTTTACAATCTTTGTTTAATTACTGCTCTAAGTGGGTTGCTCTGTCAGCTAAAGGTATATTTTAGAATCTACACTCCAGTTAAACGATAAATCAATAACTAAATTAGTTGACGATTATTTCAATAATCGATTAATCATGATTAATACGATTAATTGGTTCAGCCCTAAACTAATACCAATGGTATTGACATAAACTTTATTCCAGACTTTGTCAGAGCCATGCTTTTTTTATTGCATTTTAGTGTTTGCATACAGAAAATCTCAGTCTGATTTCATGTCCAAGGCATTTTTCTGTCTTTAAAGACTTATCTCCTGGTTAACAGGCACAACGATAAAACCACTGACAGACTAATTACAATAATTATCTTGCTACAGCGCAATCTTCTGCAGTAGAATCTTGGATCGTGGCATTCCTCACAGTTGAAAGCAGATACACTCCCAGATTTCAGCGCTCCTTCTTAGCAACTCATTGTGTTTCAAAGCATAGCAGACTAAGCTTAGTAAACATAAGAACCTATTCGGTGGGATTAACTGGAACAACCCAGATCATCAAAGGGGAAATCCTGCAACCCACAGTCACCTGCTGCCATTTTCCAAGTCTAAACACCATACAATATTCACTCTGGTTCTATCTATATACTGCAGTGGGTCACAGCATTTTTATCAAAGCACATAAACAAGCAGTTTCACTATCACTAAAATAGAAATGTTCACAAAGTTGATCAGTTTGAGGTCATTTGATGATCTATTAACATGAAACTGTATGAAGCTTTTATTGTGTTTCTGGACTTTCAGTTAGAGCATCTGTGACAAACAATACTGAATCCATATTAAGTACTTAAAACTCAGTAACAACTAAGGTTCTGAAAAGTATGTTTTTATAACAGCAAAAGCAGTAGTTTATTTAGTTTAAAACATACAAACCCAGGCTGGGAAAGAACCACTTTATCTTGAAAAGGTAAAGATGAGACCATCTTTATGATTTTAACTTAAGATCTCGCTTTAAACACTGCAAACAGGATTTGAGACATGACGCACCCCTGGGTAAGTCCAACCTACAGTCCAAACAAGCTCCTTTTTTGGTGAACAGGAGATGCTGTTTAGCCGACCTGAGCGGCTGAGAAGGTAAGTATAGATGAAAAAGTTCAAAAAGTTAAGTTACTCAAAATTGAAATAAGAAATGTAAAATGATCTCCAAAATGCACATGCAACCAGAGGAGTTAGGATAGGGTGGGTGTCATGTGTTCTGTTTTTACAGTACTAGTTGTATTCAGCAGCGTTTTGAACAACCTGCAGGCAAGACAGTAATTACTGACTCCCCTAAAATGAAGCCCATTACAGGTGATCTAAGCGAGAGGAAGCAAAAGCATGAATTACATTTTTACAATCTCTTTGAAAATGGTATGACAGCTAATCAAAGCTTCTATTCTATCAATCTAAAGTAAACTTTATTTGAGGCCTTTTAATTGTCATTACTCAGCACTCATAAAACATCGGCAACTTATACCCACTTTTGATAAATGTACTTTTGTGAACTTAAATAATGTAATTAAAATTAATTTATCATCATCATTAAAAATCAAAATAAACTATAAAAAAAAAGTAAACTTGGTCTAAACCTGGGTATAATATGGATGTAAATGATTTTATTTACAATGGGGATCAGAAAGGAGAAAAAAAAGCCTTTCTAGTGGAGCAATAAGGTTAAAACTTTGTTAGCAAAGCATTTTTTAATCATTCAAACTAGTGAAGGTCAGTAAAAACAGATAATTTCTACAGAGACATTAGACAGCATCACTATGACCAGATGAGCCTATCATAGGGCAATGCAGATACAAACAACCATTCATGCACACACTCACATCTTAGGAGATTTTAGAGATGCCAATTAACCTAACAGTCATATTTTTGGACTGCGGGAGGAAGCCAGAGTACCCGGAGAGAACTTAAGCATGCACAGGGGATGCCAGAAATCAAACCCAGAACCTTCTTGCTGCAAGGTGGCAGTGCTACCCACTATGCCACTGAGCAGCCATGTAACCAGGATGGTACTTTTCAAATATGGAATAAAAAACTCTAAAACCGAGAGTTTTACCATTCCTCACAGAAATATGCTCATATGTAAGATCATGAATATTTAACTGAAACAAACGTGTTCAAAACAACTTCTGGGCGAGGTTCAGAACAGAAACAGCAACTTAAACTTTGAGCAGTGGTGTAAAGATTATGTATGCCTTTATTTAAATGAAAAAAGCATGTACAAATATAGCATTAATTGTAAAAGTGCATTATGTTGTACTCTATTAGAATTTGTACCGAAAAAAAGATAAGGTTGGTATGACTTGTAAACAACAAATACACAGTTTCTCATGTAGACCCCATCCAACACAGATCTGGTAATATAGTCACTACTCAAATATGCAATAAAAATTTTATAAACCTACAAACTGAAACAGTGCAATTCCATGATTTAAACCAGTCTTCGAGACTAGTGGACTTTTAAGAATGCAGGTACAACATTTATGAAAAAAAAAAAACACATAAAAAAATTAACAGCTTAAACTGTCCAACCATTCTCAATGATACATAAAATCTCTACTAGATATTTGAATAAAGGTATCTGTTTTTTTTTTTGTTTTTTTTTACCAAATAACATATATCTTATTTGGCAAACGATAAAAAAAAAACAGGCAACCTTCTACTAAGATTAACTGGAACCCACTGCTAATTCTTGGCATTGATGCCACATTTTCATACCAAGTCATGAATGCATTTAGGAAAGCAACTTCAAGTTCAGTGTGTTTACTTTTGAGCACAGTTTAAATCCATATATCAGTCCAATGAGCATTGATCAGGCTTTTGCAGTACTGTTGCACCCTGCACCCTGTGTGATCCTGTAACGTCTGGACTCGGAGTAAAGTTTATGTTGTATTATTAGCTTTATGTACATACTGCTATTAAACATATAAGGAAATCTAAGTAAAATTTACTCTCTCTCCAAAATTCATGTATTCAATTGAAAAAAAGGTTCAATTTTACTTCAGAAACTCTAATTTTTACAGAAAATAAATTATAGTTGTGAATACTCTAATGGAGTTTACTGCACCAAAAAGTTAATTTTTTCAGTGTAGGAGACTCTGGCTCTGGTCTGCAGCTGTCCAGCATGCAAGGTTTACAGATGTAACTGTTGATTCAAGAACTAAAACTTTCTCCCCTACAAATGTTTGCTCATGTTATATTAAAGGGAAAAAATATAGATCACAATGAATGGTTTGCCTATCAGGTAAAACACACTCCGTGGATGAGCAGTGCTGTGCACTGATGAAGACTCACCCTGTCTAACGAATGTCTGGCTGGTGTCCAGCAGGATATCGCAGCCCTCAACAATCATTCTCTCAATGGCCAGATTCTTCCGGATGTTTTCTGTGTCACTGACCTCATCATGCATCACTCTGGACACATAAGTAACAAATAATCTTAGTCTAAACAAGTAGTGTGCATCGTAAAATCAGAAAATGTTGGTAACACATACCTTGACAGTTCCTCTAATTTAGACTTGGCAAATTCAAGACTCTTACGTTCCACATGTTCGTGAGGTGTGTGGGCCAGCAACTCATGTAGTGTTATGATGTAACGAGGGATCTTTTTGGAGGAAAGAGATGGAAAAGCAAATATAGGACATATATATATATATATATATATATATATATATATATATATATATATATATATATATATATATTAAAACACACGATTGACAACATTTGTGATCTACCTGGAACATTGGGTATGTGAGAAAGGTCTCAAGCATCCTTCCCTCGCAGGCAGCGTTGGACTCATACTGCTTTAGCAGCTTGTCGAAGTCTCTGTTCTGCTTACAGTTGGCTAAAACTTGCAGGCTGTACTGATGGTTACGCACAAACTCCTGGTATATGTTTAGCATGGGCAGCAGGATGTCAAAAAGATCAGCTGGATAAAAAAAAACATACATTAAAAGTGTACAGGCTGCAGGCATAACCCTTGGAAAGCAGTACCTGTGTACTCTATTTAGGACATTTTATGTATTCTAAAAATAATTTCATTTTTCCAAAAACATCATCTGTCTTACTGATACTAAATTGTTTTCCATACAATGAATACAATAATTTTATAACTATCTTATGACCAGACCCGAATTATGTTTCATTAGATTTACTAAAAGTTTTTTTTTATATTCCTTACGAGACCACAGCCAGCACATCATTTATGAAGCTTAAAGATTTACCAAGAAGTCATCTAGGGAAATCGATGATTTTCAGCTTAACCAGCCCTGACCACCTGGAATGGCACATGGCATGTGCCTACATAGAGCTTTGTGAATTCCAAGGTCCCCAAAGTGCTTTACAGTACGTTTAGTCATTTTACCATTTGTAAACGCATTCACACAGTAAAGGTGGTGAGATAATTGTAGCCTCAGCTGGCCCGGAGCACACTGACAGAAGGAGGGCTGCCAAACAATCAACACCACCAGGCCTTCTGACAACAAACAGCCAGCAAGGCATGTGAAGTGTCTTGGCCAATTGTACTTCCTGGTATAGAAATTAAGCAGAGATTTGTTAGAAACTATCCAAAAACAAACTGCTTTCTGACAAAAATATTTTGAAGTCGCTCTAGTTAGTCTGTCTCTTTGAACATAGTAATTTAGTTTAGTTTAGTTTCATTAGTTTCATTATACAATTATATTGAACAGAAGTTGTGGTGAATTTATTCCATGTATGTGCAGTATTATCTGTTTGACCATGATTTCAGCTCAAATCACTCTTTCATTTATTGTTCTAACAGACAGCTAGTAGGGCGTGTGTTCATGAACAATACATATCAGCCCAAATTATGTTTGGTTAAATAAGGTATTTACCACCCCTACCGAGGAGGGCAATAAACGCTTTAAAGGATCAGAAAATATGAATTCCCAGCTGGCTGGGATATATAACAGTTATTCACAACATTAATATGGCGTCCAACCTGGATGGGCATTGAATTCACAAGATTTGTAATGTTTTTCCTATATCTTCTGGGGCTAAAATCTGTGTTGGCTGGACAAAACTATATAAAAGATAACAAAATATAAAACCTTCTATTCTTATCAATAAAGGCTTTTAATATGTAATGTAACCACAATTAATTTTCAATAATAGGCCAAATTGCAAGAAACAAAAATAGAAGACAAAAAAAAAAAACAACACACCTCTTTTTAGCGACAAACAAATTAGCTGCATAATGAGGGGATCTATTATAGGGTTTTGATATGAAAGATGCTGGAGATAAAAGAGTAGATTCTGCCTGAAAGGAAGAGTCACATCAGGTCGACAAGTTTAATCAGCGCTCTCTTCCCCTGTTGTAATTTGTCACTAGTGATTTCCCACCACATCTGTCAGCCTCTGTCTCCAGGGTGATGCTTATCTGCTCACGGCTCTTTTTTTAGGGGGTGAGATGGTGAGATGGATTTGGTGTGGATTGTTATTGTCTATCAAGACAAAGAGTCTGCTCAGTGCAGACTGAGATAGGAACATGGGTATTTTTGTGTATAGGGCTGAGTGACATCAACAGTGACGTCTGATTGAGAAATACTGAGACGGAAATCACTAAAATGGCAGGCTTCTTGTTACCCACCGCCTTCTGATAGTGAGAGCATGCGCTGTGTTTGTACATTCAGTGCCATATGTGAAGCCAAGTAACAGCTTACCCAACACCAGAGTTGGCCAGTTGGCGATCCTAGCCTTCAAGCCTTGATGGAAAATCTCATGTAGGAACATGATGGTCTCACTAAATAGGTAATAAAAACATCTTATTATGTGCTTTTTTTTTTCTCTTGTGTTACTGACATTAGAGAAAATTATATAAAAGCTGAGAAAACCTTTTGGTTTCATTTTTCACACGATATACCAGCACACCTGTTCAGGAAGATGCTACTGACATCATCATGACTGATTGGAGGTTTCTTTGAGCTGGCAGCCATTCTCAGAGGTCTAAGGAAACAATTGACCAGGATATAGAGCTGGTGGACATACCTGTTAAATACATATACATAGTTAAACGATGGTGGCTTAACAATAGTTCATAATAAGCAATGTTGATTATCTTGTGTCAAAAAAGTATATATAACAGCATGAGAAGCCCTATTGTAAATACAGAGTGGGATGCAACTGCATCCTGAGGAACAGGGCTCCAAACTGTGGTGACGTGGAACACCTCCAAATTGTACAAATAAATTGCTGGTGGTTGAGAAGACTGAAGAAGGTTATGGGTTACTTTGGCTGCAGCTATAATGTAAAACAAATTTGTCAGCTTGCAGACCAAGGAGGGAGAATAAACCTCAAAAGTTTGATTGCACTAGCCACTGGACTCTAAAGAAGTAAACCGATATGGTAATCTGATGGACTTACCAGTAATTGGTGGTTGCCTGGAGGACAGCACTTGTCTGACTGTACTGTACCAACTGCAAAGTTTGGTAGAGGGGGGGTTATCCTGTGGGGTTGTGTTTCAGGAGTTTAGCTTTGTTCCTTAGTTCCAATAAGAGAAACTGATTGTTTCAGCATTAGGAATTTACTGTGAGATTTATAATGCACAGCTGTTATACAAGAGTAAATTGTAAAGTCTGGAATTAAGAGGATTTCATAGCATTTAAAGTGATCATTTACAGAAATGTGTATAAATGTAACTTTAAGAGCTTAGCATCTAAATTCGGCAAAAGTGGAGCATAATTTGAAATGAACTCAACCAGCTCTAGCAAGAGCATTCAGTCTTATTGCAAGTCAGACTTTAGTTCTTAGTTTTACATTTATGCAAGAGTGCTTTGCTTTGGTAAGCAGCACTTGAATAAAAATGAGACAAATAAGGAGAAAAGGGATTTACTGAAATTGGTTAAGTTCAATTTAAATAAACTTTACAACAGAATTTAAATTGCCTCTACATTCACAAGGGAAAGATTTAGAAGTTAAAGGATTTTGGTATATTTAACAACTGGAATCTGTAAACTACTGTTTCAAGTTTAGAACAAGGACATGCAGAGGATTTATTTTCCTTTTATAGCTGTTAGTTTGCTGGGTTTAAAGATTAGAAGGACCAGGTGGACAACTGATGCCTTCTAGTCAATTTTGAAATCTGAGGCTGATACATGTCGTCAGGTCTACATTTAGTACTACCCATAAACATTTTGTCAGTTGGTGTTCTGAATATCCTTAGTGATCATTCATCAATTTTAATCAGTAAAACAAAGGCCCCAGGGCAGAACATCTGATATTTATAGTTTGCCAGGACACCAGATAAGCCATCATATTAGCAAAAAATAATAGGAATCACCTCGGACAAAAGTAATACAACATTTTATAATTGTAAACAAATTAATTTGCAAAATATATTAATATTACAATAAGCTAAAACTGTTCTCAAAAAGTCTTGATATATTCTTAAACAAACCTGCTTCTTTTAAACCTTAACTGTGCAAATTATAATTTATATTGTATGATATAAAATAATTCGATCAAAGAGCCATCTTTAAAACAATTTAATGTCAAATATATGTTTAGCTGCTTCTCCTAATTTAACTTATTTAAATGTATATAATTCAATCCAAAGTAAAATTACATTTAAAGAGCTCCAACATTGTTATCACAGTATTTCCATTGGAGATAACCACACAAGGGTGACAATTTAGATACAAATTATACTGTTGCTCAAGGCATAATGTATTTACATACTCTGTCTCTGCCTCCACCATATTGAAGACAATCTGGTTCCTCTTCCTCATGCTCTCTGCGTGAGGAGAACAAATATAGTCCTGGACAATGATTTTCCACTTCCTGCGACACAGCCAGCCGCGCATGAAACTTTGAACCTGCAGACAGAAATGTTGACAAATGTCAAGCTTTTAAAGGTGCCTGTAGATATGGAAAATAAGAAATAACTCTGAACATGATAGCATTTACCTTTCTGATCTTTTTGATGTCAGGATCTTCATTCTCGTGGTAGATGTGATAAGGCCGCATCCGCTCCTTAGTTTTGTTTAAAGCTACAATCTTTTAGGACAAAGCGTTTCAGATTATGTCACTTAACAAGCAGATCAATAAGATATATATTCATAATTTCTTACCAAAGATATTGCTAAGTTAAATAAATTTTTTGAAGGGGCTGATGGTGAATATTTGCATTGACGTAAATATTGACAGAAACCAAAAACAGCTGCCAGCTTCAGTGAGTGTTTAATCATTTCAACACAGATTTAGAGCTAAATCTGAAGCCGACTACAAACCTCAAAAGTAATCAAACTATATGCTAACAATGATAATGAAAACATTTTTGACATTAACTGCCTATCTGAAATAATGTTAAGTTTGACCTGCGGGGGTGAAGTTTAACCCAACAGAGATGAGATAATACAAATCTCCCTAAAGGAAGTTCTAAAAGCCTGGCCCACAGATTCTATCTCCAACCTTTTTGATAATCGAGATTTCGTGACGTTATCAAAGACATTTATGCAGTGTATGATCCTTGCTTTCTTTTCCAGTGTCAAATAGCCCAAACAAGTGCAGAGGGCTGAAAGGAAAGGGGGATCATGAACAGGCACAATGTCAAACCTCCAATTAATTGTCATGTCAGAGAAGTAGTCTGAGGATCCGATTCTCTCATACAGAAACACACACTTTTTTAAACAACAGTATTTCTTTAACATGCAAATGTGCTGTAATTCCAGAGCAATATCTAATGGAAGAAATGTGGGTGCTCCATTTTACTTTGAGCTAATTGGCTGAAAATCACAGTATGTACTCAGTTAGAGAGCACTCAAAGACATGTTGTGTGTTTTCAGCAGATATCAATCAGATTTCCTCCTCACTGATAAAGCTTGGACCTTCATTCCGAAAGAGAGCCAAGAAAGAAGCCGGGAAGCAAGCCTTTTCTGGCTAACAGCAAGCAAATCCTGGCTTTCATTTGGAGAGTGAGACTCAGAAAGCATCAACCTGTTCTGCATGTGACAAAAAGCATATGTAACTGATCATATCATTAGGAAAAAAAATAAATAAACATAAAATGGACAAAAAAAGAAAAATATTCCCTTAAATAAGTATTTGTTTGAAATAAAGCAAAAAACACATTTAACAATGGAGAAAACAAATGCATTTATAGAAAGTAGCTGGTCTGTTTGCTGAACTCTTTAAAACTATGTTCACAAAGTGATAAAAATTTAGCATTAGAACAGACACTGCAAATAAAGCTACCTTCATAGTTTTTATCACTCCCTGTTAGGGTGAGAAAAAGCACTTGAAATTTGATTGCATGCTGTCTTGCAAAATTTAAAAACTAATCAAACATTTCACTTTAAAAAAGACTGGATTTATTCCATGACATAAAAACCAATGTTAATGAATAATAAACCGTTTGAAATCACAGATGGCAGCACTTACTAGCAAAACAGCTGTTATTACTTTATATCACCCTGTAAAACCCCTAGTAGGAAAATAGCTCTTATTTTTTACTATAACATTTACTATAACAGCCAAAAATCTTTGCTTTGCTTCTGTTTTTTACCACAATCCCTGTAAATCTAGAAACAGGATCCGCACAGTTTTCTCTCACTTCACTGTATATATATTTTTTAATATAACGATATTGCTGTAATTCCCTTATCTAATTACCAATAAACTCTTCCCCTTGAAGACAAGTTTTGTTCTTGGTTTGGAGGTTAGTAGGGCTGGGCATCAACCAAAATTCAAAAACCTATTTGAATCAAAATTTCTTGATTCAGAATTATCTTGATTCTTTTCAATGCAGTCAGATCTCATATCGGATTGCTGTCATCAAAAAACATTTTTTATAGCAGTTACATAAATTATGTGACTGTCTAAGTATGCAACAAATAGATACCAGTATCAATATGGAAACATTAATCAGTAAATGGATAAAGCAATGTGTGAATTAATTGTAGGTCTGGTTTAGAGTTAGGCATGCACTAGCAATGGTTAAGAGATAAGTAGAAGGCTGGATTGAAGTACATTTTTTGCGTAAGGACATGGACCTGCACTTATGTTTGACATTACTAAGGCTTTTATACATCTTTATCGAGCTGCTAAAAAAAGATGGTGTTGTATATTTAAAGATGTTGTGTGGCTTTAGAATAAACTGGAAGCAGCATAGAAATAAACTCCTTATTGATACTCTGATTCCAGCGTAACATTTTTCACCCTCTTTGTTTCTATTTTCATCCTAATTAACAGCATCGTTTCCTCAGTTGTTTGGTAAAGCTTGATAAATAAGAGCAAACATATTTTCTGCCACACTTCTTGATCTTCATTTTCCCATTCACCAGAGCAAAGAAGAGCCAATCTTCCAAGTCATGATAGTAATAGTAGCTACTTTGTTTAAATATTCATGAACTCCAAGCAACACACATGTAGTACAAACGAAAACAAGCAACAAACAACACTAGTAATTCTTAATTAGAGCAATAACCAGCTGCACATTTCCTCTTAAGTTCTAATCCTTTTTTCATGAGCAGCTCTATTAAACATGCAGATGTTTTCTACAGAAACATACATTCATCAGCATTTTTCTTTGTTAAGCCAGGATTCCTTAAGTTAGACAATGAGTTTCACCACAAAAATACACATTAATGGAAAGTAGCACACTTGTTGCTAGAGGGGAAATTTACAACTGCCTGTGTGTTATTTCTTTTCAAAGACAAGATTGCACATGCAAGTAGGGTGTTTAGACAAGCCATTACAGGCACAAATGAGCAGACACCAAATTGGAAACCACAGAGAAGCTTTGATTTATGGGGAGTTTACCAGCTGCCCATTAAAGGAATAGTACACCCAAAACATGATTAGCCTTCATTTTCTACTCACCCCCATGCTGAACAACACTCTGGAGTACTTTTTTGATATCTCAAATGCATCTGGAGATCTGGGAGGCTTCTTGCTGTCTGCTGACATTCAAATAATGGAGGTCTATGGTGCCCGAGACAGAAAGGTCCATAAAAGTCCACAAAAAACATGTCAATATTCCTCCATACTGCTCGTCCAATGTATTCCAAGTGTCCTGAGTGGGTAGCATCCAGAATTTACTCGAAACGAAGTCATTTAGAATGTTTTTAGAGCATAAACAGTAGTGTATAGGATTTCCTGAAAGCGCGCACCTGCACGTTCATGACGCTACGGAAGCCGGCAGACCAAACCAGATGAAAGTGCGCATTCAGCGTCTGCTCTGCCAATAATGCAAGCGTAGAAGAAGAAATGTGCTGTTTACCTGTGCAAAGAAAGAAACAACGAAAGAAAAATGTCTGAGGACTTCAGTGTTGAGGAAGAGCATGAGTTCTTTGCCGAGCTGAATGTGCACTTTCATCCGGTTTGGTCTGCCGCGGTTTCCGTAGCGTCGTGAACGTGCTTTTAGGAAATACTATACACCACTGTTTATGCTCTAAAAACATTCTAAATGACTTCGTTTCGAGTAAATTCTGGATGCTACCCACTCAGGACACTTGGAATACATTGGACGAGCAGTATGGAGGAATATTGAAACGTTTTTTGTGGACTTTTATGGACCTTTCTGCCTCGGGCACCATGGACCTCGATTATTTGAATGTCAGCAGACAGCAAGAAGCCTCCCAGATCTCCAGATGCATTTGAGATATCAAAAAAGTACTCCAGAGTGTTGTTCAGCATGGGGGTGAGTAGAAAAGGAAGGCTAATCATGTTTTGGGTGTACTTTTCCTTTAAGCAAACAGCATTCCAACTGAAAAAATAAGACACTTCTAAGAGCAAAATTGAATTTGAAACGTGTCTCTGTGAAAATAAGTATAACTTTGGAGTTCCTCCTGGTTATGTCAGGGTCATACGTGTATTTTGAATAGTTAAAAGTAGGACAACAATCAAGAACTTCTTTATTATTGTTCTCTAAGAAGCATATTGTTAACTTAAATTCTTAAAAAGTCTTTTAAACAGCCATTTTTTTGCTGTTACTCTGCATAATAAATAAGGTTCATCTGGTATGGTATAGTACTGGCAAACTTCAAATAATTAAAGGAAGGATGAATGGAAAAAATGTAGAGGGACATCTTGGTAAAAATCTGCTGCCATCTACCAGGATGAGGAAGATGAAACGTGGGTGGACATTTCAGCAAGACAATGACCCCAAACACATAGCCAAGGAAAGTCTGAATTGGTTTCAGAGAAAGAATATAAAGCTGCTAGAATGGCTTAGCCAATCACCTGACTGGAGTCCAATAGAAAACCTATGAAAATAAATAAAGATCAGAGTTCATAGTAGAGGCCCACGAAACCCTCCAGATTTGAAGACTGTTGTTGTGGATGAATGGGCCAAAATCACACCTGAGCAATGCATGTGACTACTTTCTCCATACAGGAGGCGTCTTGAAGCTGTCATTGTCAAGAAATGCTTTTGTACAAAGCATTAAATAAATTTCTATCTGTGTTCACTACTTTTTCCCTGTGTCATATCACTTTGCTACATATAACTTTATGTTTGGGCATCTATGGTTTCTGATTTCTTTGTATGTGTGGATTGCATGGATTGTTACCAGTATCTGGTGGAAATGTCTCTAGAAATATATTTATATTTACTGGGAAAAATGGTGTCATATTTAATACTTATTGACATTTAACAATCACACAAGCATCACCACGCCCTCCGACCACCATCAGTAGGCAATAGTCTTTCCCAAGGACACAACGAGAATGAACACAAGAACTGAGGTTTGAACGACTAATCCTCTGGTTGCATGTTCAACTCTCACACACAACGCCATTGTCCCCCCAGATTAGTACACCAATGAATAAGCAACATGGCGTGCAGGTTCTGGCTGGGAGAGAGGCAGCTTGCATAGCTGCTTCTGATGATTGCAATTCATCTAAGGGTTTTTAATCAGATAGCAATGGAAATCAGTTGCAATGAACCAGAGAAACCTAAAAACTGCTGGACAGCAGGCCTCGAGGACCGATTTTGGGCAGACCAGGTCTAATTCAAGGGACATGTTAAAGGTAGTTCTAACAGAAAATTGACAGGGTGCACTGAATACGGAGGTCCGGTCCAGTCAGGGCACCAGTACTTGCCATCACTAAAAGCTCCAGCAGTGTGCAATCACACCTAGGCTATGAACACAAGCAATGGAAGAAGTTATTACAAATTGCCCACATCTCAAATTTGAGATGAGAGCTGGTTTGGCAACAAAAAGGGGGGGTGTATGGATACTCTATCCATCAATTTTCTGACACGCTTAATCCCAAGCAGGTGCCTATCTCCAGCTGTCTACGGGCGAGAGGTTGGGTAGACCCTAGAAAGGTCGCGAGTCCATCACAGGGCAACACAGAGACAAACAGGACAAACAACCTTTCACGCACTCACTCACACCTAGGGAGAATTTAGAGAAGCCAATTAATCTAAAAGTCATGTTTTTGGACTGTGGGAGGAAGCCAGAGTACCAGGAGAAAACCCACACATGCTCAGAGAGAACATGCAAACTCTATGCAGAAAGACCTCAGGCCAGGATGCGAACCTGCAACCTTCTTGCTGCAAGGCAGCAGTGCTACCCACTGTGCCACTAAGCAGCCCAGGGGACACTCTATAATACTGGAATTTTAAAGGTTCTAACTAAGACTAATCTGCAAAGGTTAATTTGCTCTGCAGATTGGACTCACCTGCTTCAGGGCAGAACAAATACATGATATAGAGATCATTTGCTGACTCCAGATCTCTGGTAGATGGCATTAACTTTGTACTGTTCCTGCCATTAATATGCTTCATCAGTTCGTTTTAAGATTTACTTCAGTATACACAGATAAGACATTGCTATTGGGCATCACCATGACGTTCTAAACCTAATTTACAGCAACATACCCAGTCATGTTTGCTCAGGTTTGCTGACCTTTTGGTGGCAGTGCAAAGATAACCAACAAAGCTAAAGGTAAATGTAGTCTTTGTAAACATCTCTCACAATTAGACTGTCGTGATGTTTGATTTTCCTAATCATTACAATACCTTTTTTTAATAATCCCACCTCAACACATTTAACTTATTTTTTTTCTTGCCTTAACAGTTTCAAATATGCTTAATTTAGAGAAAGGAATATTCCAACTGGTTTTGACCAGGGCAAAAGCATTTGTTCAACAAAAAGGATCAAAACACATGTTTTTTTTGTGTTTTTTCTTTTGCCAGGAATTCTTTTTTTTTTTTTCATTGTTTGGACTTTTTTTTCAATGGTTTTTAAGTATTAAGAGCAATTATAGTTTACTAAAGCAAAATGGGGAAGATCATCTAATTATTGTAAACTGCTAACTAGATTCTTTTAATGTGTTTGAGGGGCAGAGGAGACAGGGGAATTATTTTGATTGACAATGTGGTAAGGGTCTGTTGGGTTTTATGTGTACACATGAATGTGATTTACTGTGCAGCAACAGAAACAACGCATGTTTGAAGAGTTTGGCTATCGGAGTGGAGGCTGATCAGCTATCTTTATTGAAGGCCTCCTACACCCAGAAACAGCCAAACACTGCTCACGCCCACTCGCTCACTGCAATGAACAGAAAACAACCTACAACATAGACAGTGACACTGATATATACAATGTATAGGTTTCTTTATAGGCGCCTTTTAGCTTAACCCTTTCTGATTTGTAAAACCGAGACAGAATGCAGTGCTGTGTGGGCAGGTTGGTGAATATAAAACATGACTGAAAAATAGTGGGAAAAATAATACTTATGCAAGAGTCCTACATAAATTTTATTTCATATGCTTCACAGCAAACTAAAAAGGTCCTGAAAACTCAAAATCAGAGTATGTAACTAAAAATTAGATTAGCAGGCCTAAATATTACAATAGAAAACGCATTGATCAAATCAAACACAATGAAACTTAGCCAAAGGAAAAAGGCTGTTGATAGTGATGCATCTACAAATTAAGAAAAGGTGCAAACTAGTGCTGCATGATGAAAGTGCTCCAGACCGCTAAGAGGAAACAATCATTAACTCATTTGGGACCAGACCCTTAGTAACAGCATAAACAGGATTCTAAGAAAGATTAGTGTAAGTGTTTAGAAATATTTAAAGAAAAACTTGGTGAAAAAAACTGATGTCTTTTAGAGAGAATGCAATTTGGGGTCTGGTTGGCTATCCAAGTTGTACCCTTGCGGTCTACGGCACTTTCATTGTGCGAAACCAGTTTGCAGCTTTTCTTAACTTGCACTTGTTAATACCTCTTGTAGCCTTTTTTGGCTTTGTATGTGTTTTATGTGTTTATGTCTTTGCAACATCTATGCATTTGTAACGGGATTTGTGTTTACAGTATGTTTCCACTTTGCTGTTTTTTGCAATATTCACTGTGGTTGCAGCTTTTCTTGCAGTTAACTTGCAGTGTTTGCTATTTGCAGGATTTTACCTTTAAATGTGTTTTGTATTGTAGCCTAACGTTTGAGTTTTCTAGACACATTTTTAAGCTTGCAGGACCTTTTGAGTTTATGGTAACAGAATGTATTTACACGGCATTTGCACCCCTTGGCCACCATACGTAAGTGCAAAAAAGACAACATTTTGGTTGTGGCCGTTTGTCTGAAGCATCTTAATTAGCAGTTATCAACTTAGTGCAAGCAGGTTCCCAATGGTAAATTACATTGGGACCAAGTAGCACTAAATTGGTGACTTAGAAACGAAACTGTCTAGGAACGCTATGGACAGCGGAAACATTCAAGAGGAGGAGAGTTTTGAGTCGGAGGTCGTGGATGAGTCTCCTCCATCATACATTATTTATTTAGAGGAGGAAAAATGGGGATAAAGATGTTGTGAAAGAGGATGCCAGGGCAGCAGAAGCTTTGTTTTGCGTAGAAGGCTTACAGCCGTACATGTTTGAGCCCTTGCCTCGCAACGCTGCCAGTTCTGTTAGCTATATACCTGCCGAAGACACAGACATCTATCCCCGTGAACGCTGGGACGGAACTCAATGGTAAAGTAAATTATTCTTATTTCAACCACAGCATATATTAGCTGCAACATTTGAATCAAGATTTATATGACCGAAAAAATTTGATTGACAGATGACTGTTGATATACGATTGGCCGAATTTAGGTGTACAAGCTGACATATAACTAACTGGCCTGAATAAGATAATGAGAAAAAAACCCCCACAGATTTTAAGACAGGATATTTTTTTAAATCGAAATTTTCGAACTTTTCGGACAATATATTCTGATAAAGAGTACATTTATATACATGTTTAAGCCCGAATGATTTGAAATTTAGATATGACTTTCCTACGACTTAAAGTAATTTAATAATTAATTTTGACTGCTCTCTGTATTTATTTTTTCTAATTTATTTCATCTGTAAAAGAAAGACCAAATTGTAATAAATTCATTTCAATGATTTATTATCAAAACCACTATAAGATCACATTTCACAAAAAGAAAATATGTTGTCAAAACTCACTGTAAAAGGACCGTGGACCAGTAGGGAAGCTCACTGCCCTATTTGGGTGTTGTTGACTTCCTCTTTCAGTAAATGACATAAAATCCAATCAACTGGTCTCCACATGTGCATGATGGGATGGGTATTGGAAGCTATCACATATACTAACTTAACTTGAGGGAAGTTGAAACAACAAATGTAAATTATGCATGCATCTATGGACAGAAAAATGTATGACTTACCTCAGATTTAAGCCTTTCGATCTCAGTGTCCTGGTCCTCCAGCTGAGTCCGCAGCTGATTGGCAGCCACCTTTTCAGTCTCCACAATTTGCACAAGGTGGATGTACTTCTGCATCAGGACTTCTCTTTCAATTATGATATCTGAATAACTGCAAAACAGGAATATTTTATATGCAAACCACAGTTCTATTAGCACACTATGTTTTTAATCTGGAATAATAACACAGTGAAGAAAAATTCCAAAAAGACAAACACATCATAGGATAATCTGATCTTTATCATTTCCTAACTATTGAAATCTTTGGAGAAAACAGTAGGTCAGGAGACAATTCCTTTTTTCCAAAGATCCAGCCTCAGTTGAATAAATATAATAAACTGTGTTGAAACTGTACTGAGATTTCAGTAGCATTTGGATTGATTTTGTAATAGTGATTAAAATTTGCTTTAAATATGATATGTGAGCTGAAACATTAATGCACCTTAGGCCAGTGTTGGGAAAGTTCTCTTTCTACGTGAACTAGTTCAAAGTTCAGTTCACACATTTTAAAATGAACTAGTTCAGTTCATAGTTCACAATTCCAAAAAACGAACTAGTTCATAGTTCTTTTTTTTTCATTTTTTTTTCATATATTGCTCAATTACACCATAGCCTACTGTAGAACCACAGACAGCAATTATTTTATCAGTTGTAACTCTGAAACTGTGCGTCAGATTTCATCTTCATATCCAGTTTTGAATCCTTATCCAACCAGGGTTTACATTAGCATTGAGGGGACAGCATTTCCATTCACTTCACACTAGTAGCAGCTGCAGTTTTCACCCCTACAGTATATTCTCAAAAACATCAGGAAAAATGTGCTGCTTGAATGGTCTTTTTTATGAGTAATTATTAAAAGAAAAATAGGAAAGTAGTCTTTAAGGTGCAAATGTTTTTTTTTTATTTTAATATTTTTTTCCATTTGAAATTCCATTTCAATACATACTAAAAAGGAATCCTGGAAAATTATACCAGGCAGGTTTAACAAACAAGTTACATGGATAGTAAAACCCTCAAGAACAGGGGTCTTCTTTTCCAGACCAAGAACCCCCAAACTGATGGCGAGATGGAGCGGGGACCCCCTAACTATATATATTGTATGAAATTGTGTCCTATAGTCACTCTATTACAGATGGAGTAATGTAAAGAAATTAATTTCTCCCTGGGATTATTAAAGTTTTTCTGATTCTGATTCCTGGTTGATGGGACAGGTGTTGTGAAGGAAACGGTGCCCAGCTTGAAAGAGCTCCTGTGTGTCGCTGAATGTGAGCATTGATGACTGAAAGACATCTTTTGTCTCCATTTATCTGTTTACTACACTGTGTTGATTTCATGTTAATGAGTATTTAAAGACATTTCAATTAGTGGGGGGAAAATGCGGGGGGGGGGGGGGAATATAAAAATATCAACTAACCATGCAGACCCTCATGCAGTACCTCCGTAGACCCCCTAGGGGTCGCGGATCCCCTGTTGAAGACCTCCGCTCAAGAAGATTTTACTAACACAAACTGAGGGACCAGGCTGAGGTAGGAATTTAAGGTTACTGAAGTGCGGATTTTTTTACTGAAAGCCGGCGGGCAAACTTGTTGCCATCATCCTCACCGACCACCTGGTCATAAACCTGTTTTAAGTCGCCTCCATGCTGCTGTAGCTTCAACGCTGCATTTTGTTTTGATGACGCACGCGGCTGTAGGCTACGAGCCTGGTAGCTGCTGTTGCCAGATTGGGTGTTTTTCCCTCTACATATTAAGGCCTGTTTACGGTGTGATTTAGCCGGGGTTTCGCCTGGAGGGCTTTATAGAAATCTGGCAACCGATTGAAAGGAACTGAACTGAGAGAGCGTGCCGTTCACAGACACCAGAATGAACGAGTTCACAATAACGTTCATCAGGCAATAATGCAGTACGTTCAGTTCACGTTCGCCCAAAATATGAACGAGTTCATGAACTTTCGTTCAATGAATGCGTTCAGGCACAACACTGCCTTAGGCAAACATTAAAGGAAAAAACTAATGTAGAAAATGTAGTATATTCCTTCTAAATTACAGGAGTTAAGAATAAAACTGACAAGAATTTGATTTTAGTCACAGCATACTATATTTGGTTTATTGTGGTTTGATGGTCAGGAGCAACACAGGTCAGGTATAAGAAACTGTCAATCTTCTGTAATTAAAGCCATCAATTTTAGATCAAAAGTTCCCTGAAATCCTTTATTGCTATGTCAAATGCCAATAAAGAAGCTCAACTTAGCACACCCTCTGTATTTTTCTGGGAACAATCTTTATCTTTAATGTGAGAAAAGCCATTGCACAGATCTGTGATCAGAACAGACAGACAATTAAATGTGCTTTTTAAAGAAACATGAAAGATGTTGGGTTTTGAACAACAAAATAAGGCAAACCATCCTGGCTTTTAATAAGTTGAAAGGGTCAACATTTTTGAGTGTGTTTCAGTTAATCAGAAACCATAAGACTGGCGACTAGAGTCTGTTTAAAGATGCTTTTGTTCTTGAAGATCTAACAACTTGTGTGAATCACAGCTTTAGTATATTGTATTTAGCTAAAAACAGTGGCACTCGGCATTTTCTTTACTAGATATGCACTGATCCAGTTTTTGTTTCCGGATCCAATCCAATAGAATTATCTGGGTTGAGCGTATCGGCCTATATCTGATATCAATCCAATTCAACTGTTGGATAAATCAACGATATATCTTGCCATGTGAGTGAAGTCTTAAGCCTTTACATAAAGATGGTTAAAAGGGTAACAAAATGACACAGATATAAATGCACTTTCTATTGATGAGCAACAAAAAGGCACAAATAACAGTAAGACAGCATAAAGTGCTTTGTATTGGATCTCTAGCATTCGATTTCAAATCACCAATATCTGATCCAGTTGATTAGCTGATATTTGAGCAGACATCCGATCCAGGTATTGGATCGGTGCATCTCTAGTCTCTACCAGTCTTACAAGTCTATTTCACCTGTAACATCAGAATCACTAAATACCAGTTATTAGATCTTCACTTTTTTCATAAACAAGATGAAAGAATCCATTAACTGCATCAGTAGTTTCAACAGTACTCAGATCAGCAAATCTGGGTTCAACCAACATACAGCATTCTCATTCATTTACCTCTTTTCTTCCATTCTGACTCATGTTTTGAACTTTAGGAATAGGGTCAGAGAATCACTGATGACTATAATGTTTAATCACAACAGAAATCACCCTTGTATGTATGATTTAACCTTATGTACAGTACCTTGCCTGCTGGATGGCCTCAACCCATTCATCACACTCATTCTCCTCATCCGTCCGCAGCTCCAGAGGTTTCTGTCCATCGTGGCCAAACACAATGAGGAAGTAGTGCTAAAAGAAAAAAGAAAAAACACTCAATTAGATAGTAAATACTAGATCAAATATTTTGCTTTATAGCATTACTTTTTCCGCTTCATAGCAATAAAGATTTGGGTTTATCAGTCGGGATGAGTTTCAATCATTAGTACATTTTATTTGCAAACAACTTTCCTATTCAGGTTTTCAACCGACACAATTTCAGCAATAAGCTGGGTGCACACTGTAAATATTGCAAATGATTACAATATCAAATCAAATATTATTAATGTCCCATAAGGGAAAGTGAGCTGATATTACAAATTAGGTTTATTTCCACTTTGGTGCTGTGTGTGGATATGTAATGGGAGGGTAGGTGGGAATCTGCGGGGTATTAACATGTGACAATGATAAGAGTGCAAAGGATTATGGGGTATTAGCTACAGAAGAGATCCAATATCAGCTGTGTGATTTTATTTATTTTTTTGTAAAATTTGAACAGGATAGGTTAATATATATGGTTTCTGCTTACGTTGGTTTCTGCGTATGTTGGGTATCAGGGCTGAAATCAACGTTAATGTCGGATACTGATATAATCATAATTATGCACTAAGCATCAAAAGTTTACACTTATAAAAGTCACATATTTTTTCCATTTGTATTAGGCAACAAACAAAATTAGTAATACATTTTAGTCAGAAGTACCTTTCAAGAGGTTTCTTCACAAATACGGATGTGGTTATTAGAGTAAATGCTATTATATAAAAACAAGTGAAATAAACAAGTAAACTAAAGGTCGTGGAGAATGTTGAAAGTAAAGATGTCCTTAATAACATCTATTCTTTATTATACCAGTCTGGGTTATTTAAAATGCTTCCATAACAAATTCGAAATCGGAAAAGCTTTTCATTCAACTATGTTATTTACCGTGTGTTTTCATGATTATGATAGAAGAGGCTGGTGTGAGGTTTTAGAAGTATGAACAATGTCAGGCTGAACAATATGGAGCGGAAGCATGAACAGCATAGGCGAGTCAACCAAAAAGCATTGCACCTGACATCTCCTGACTTTTTATCTTCTTGGCATTTTATAACTTGTGTCTCTGATGTTCCCCAATTAAGCTAAATACCAGGTGCTGCAGCAGAAATTCTAGTGTCATGAATGTCAACAGCTTGTAAGCCTAAGACACCAATGGTAAAAGCTTGTTTTAGTTTAAAAGGTTTCTTTGCATAATATTGTCAGCAGTTAAATTAAAATGCTTTGATGTGCGTAACTTAAGATTACTTACCAAATTCAATTACATCTTAATTAAAATAAAGTGCTTTCTTTTATGAATTACAGTGCTTATATTTTCTTAACTTACAACATTTGCAGTATTCCAGCAGGGGATCTGCTTTCATTCAGAGTGGAGAGGAAACTTAGCAGGAACCTAGCAGTAGTTACAGTATTATAAATTATTTACATTATTTCCAAATAAAAAGACTCCTATAGATGTACTGCAAAGCGAAGTCTCAAAGATATGTTTTGAAATTAAAGATACCAATTAGGTTATGCATTTACTGATATTAAATCCCTGATTACCTTGACAGCAATATAAATTTTATCCCAATGGGAATAGCGACCAAACCTGACCCGGTGACGGTAGGCGCGCCCCGTGCTTCCCCCAGCCTGCCTTACCGGGCAGGTGGGGGGCAGCTGCCATTACCGGGTCAGGTTCGGTCGCTCCATCCCCCACTGGCTCCCTCCCCATGCAGGCTAATCCAGACCCAACCTGATTTAAAGCATTTATAAATTACTCCATGTCGTCTGACGACATTGTCTAAATTCACTTGCCCCGCTTCTCCTGTTAATATGGTAAGGCCCTCCCAAGCATCTGGGACCAGGCTGCACATGATGCAAATTAGCCAATGAGCTGTCAGTATGGGTTGCTGCTGTGAGCCAATTTTAGACACAGCAGGCAAACCTGTGGCAAACCAGGCAGTGAGAAAGGAGAAAACGATAAGAAAAAGTGAGCAGAGAAAGTGTAGACTGCTGCAAGAACTGCGGTGAACTGGTGAAAGAAAAATGAAATGACCCTGCACATTTTGAGTATGTTTGGCTCAACTTGGTGCTGTGAAGCAGGATTCTCCACCATGACCATAATCAAAAATAAATATAAATCCAGGCTCAAAATTAGTACTTTGATATGTGCTTGAGAATAGCTTTGTCACCATTCAAACCCAGGTTTAAAAGCCTTGCAGGGCAGCCTAAAACCCACTGCTCTCATTAAGCCATATAAAAAGGAAGAGAAAACAAACAGTTCAGGTGTTTTATAAAATATGTGAATCAGGAAATTGTCTATATACCAATATAATTTTTATTCTTTTCTAAATTGTCTAAATTGACTATAGAAAAGACTTCAATTATATCAGGACTCTGGCACAGATTATTTTAACATGCAACAATAGCACTGGAAAGCTTGGAAGCAATGTATTGATAAACAACAAAGAGGGGTAAAGGGAAAATCAAGATTTATAAAACAAATGTTGGCATTGGATGATTATTTAAATAAAGAAAGACAAAGTGAGGTAGGACTGATGATTCAACACAGTCATTTGCTCACTGAAATAAACATTGTGTCGCCTGCGCTTCCCCTCTCTACCAGTCTATTATCATCACCATCAATTAGCCTGTTCTCAGCTGGCCTCTTCCCTCTCTATCACTTTACTGTCTGTCTGTTTTTATCAATATGAGTGTGAACGTGTTTTAAAAAAAACACAGGCACATGCCATCACAAACAAGGACAGAGACACACACCTACAGTAAAAAACACACACATATAAGCACGATGTGATGCAATAGAGGTTTTTATTCAAATGGCTGTGTCCTGGGGCAGTGGGTTACCAGAAGAGCTGCTATTCTTAGTCAAGGAAAACAGAGAAGACTGAACTCTTCATGGACTCTCAGCGCTCTATCCTCACTTCATCCATCTATATCCTCCTCTCTCTCTATGGTTGCAGTTCACCTATCTTCCCACTCTACCTCCTCTGCATTGCTCAGGCGGTATCCTCGCCCCTCTTGTTGTCAAAACCTACTCCTCCTACTCCATCTCCTTTCATTCTTTCACCTCTTTATGTTCCTTACTCTGAAATAGAACTCAGTGAAGCAAATGGGGTTCAGAGAAAGGACGTTTGCCCTGTAGGGTTATAGACGGACTTAGGCCCTGCAGTGGGGAAGCGCTGAGAACTAGGGAAAGATCACTGAAACGTGAAAATTTAGAGACCCTCCTCCATCTTTATCTACATCTCATTTGTCCTTATCCTGCTTATTATGTATCTGTAATACAATTCAGCATTCAGCTGCGTGTTACTACATCAATAATAATATGAGATGTGCTTGGAAGAGAGAGAGAGGAAAGAAGGGCAGAGATACACACAGTAATATTTCCTAACCAAGTATATATTTCCTAAATCTTCACTGACCAATGAGGAAATATTCCCATGGCAAAGCTTCATTTAATTCTTTTGTTGTGTTTTATACTTCCATTTTCTGCTATTTGATTCCACCATTCATTTTTAATCCACTAGTTTCAGAAATTAATGGAAAGCAGAAGCTTGTACTTCCATTGCTGTCTCAGTTGAGTAGGATGTCTGTCACTTCTTAGTATCCACAAAATCCATATTGAATTCCCAAACTGATTGTTTGAAAAAATTGACCCATTGAACATGGGTTGATGTCACATCCGCCAAACAGCATGCACGTTTTTGACCTGAAGTAAAAACTACAGGATTACGTCGATGTCTTACGTAATTTCTGTGATGGCTACTTTTTACTTTTAAAAATATGATGTAGTAATGCTACTCCTACTTGAGAACCTTTTTTTTTCAGGTACTTAATGCATTCTCACAGAATGTATCATGGATTGCAATGGCAAAGAAAAAGAGAGACATATTCAGAACATGGTAGTGAGAGCTGCCTCACTGCTTCATGTAAAAAAAAAAGGACAAAAAAGATTTTAAAAAAGTTATACTCTAGATTTACTTTTATGCTTTAGCAAGTAAACAATTTCTTCTTTAGGTTTAAACCTCAGTGATTTTGAGTGTAATATGCTGTATATACAGTGCTGTAATGACTAAAAAACTGTATCTGTTTATATAAATCCAAGTTGCTCTATCAGATCAAAAGTTGCTCCAATATATTAGGCTCCAAAATACAAAATCACGTTAATCCATCCCTCCCTACCTCTTCTCCCGCATATTACGTCAAGGTCACGGTGGAGCCGGTCCTATCTCCAGCAGTCTACTGTCAAGTGTCGGGGTACACCCTGGACAGGTAGCCAGTAGCAGGGCAACACAGAGTCACAGAACCGTACACACAAACATTCACACCCAATTTAGAGAAGCCAATTAACCTAACAGACATGTTTTTGGAATGTAGGAGGAAGCCAGAGTACCCGGAGAGAACCCATGCATGCAGTGGGGGAACATGAAAACTCCATGCAGAAAGACCCTGTTCCGATAACCTAAGATCCTTTTGCCTCAAGACAACAGGGCAACAAATTGGTCAGAAACCATAATTAAAAAAATAAAATAAAATATGCAATTATCTCATAGTTTGGCAAGGATTTAATTTTGAAATTCAAAACTTATCTAGAAGAGTTTGGAATTACGTCAAATTAGCTTTTACCTAATTTAGAGCGATTAGAAGGTGTTAAAACCAATTCAAAATGCAAATCTTAGACGCAAATAAAACATTATTTGGTAAAATAACATTTTGTTAAATTATTTGCTTAATCAGAAATCAGTAACCTTTTAGAGAATTTTCTTAATCTTTGGTAATCACTGCTGAGCAAACAGTTAAGTGTTAAGTTAAACAGTGGAGCTAGTAGCAAGCAGAGACGAGGAGACTCAATTAATAAAAATGGACCCTGATATGCTCATTACATTTGATTACTAAAGTATGAACATATTTTGACAGATGCTTACAAGAGGTGTTCAATAAGTTTGATCTACCTGAAATTTTGCATGTGCAATTATTTATATATCTATAGATCAAGT